TGTGTGTGTATGTCGATTATATGTAAAGACATTCTCTCTCTCTCTTCACAGAATAAAATGGTTGCTTCCTATAGCTGTCTAGCTTCATTAGATTCTAGTTTGTATTTGGATTCTTCATTCCTGTATAATAATAATAATAATAATGGTGGTGGAGCCAGATTCATTTCAGATATAAGGAAAAAAAACACACGAAATGAAAGCCAAATGCATTAAAAATTCTTTGCGTACATGTCTCTCGACAATTTAATGTAATGACCGAATGAAAAGAAGAACAAAAAACGTATCCAAAAAAATTTATCAATTCATTAAAAATAAACACTGAAAATGGCTGTAAATGAATAATAGCTAATAATAATGCTCACATTTTTTTTTTCGTTTGTCAACTAATAATAATTTGTGTTTTCTGTTGAAATGACAATATTCATCAATCAATTGAAATTAATTGATTGATGAATATTTGAATTCATTATTGGTAGTCAATCAATCGGTCTTCTTACTACCTAATGTGGTAATAGTTTTTTGGCCACTATAAATCCAGTTATTTGGATTTTGATTTTCAAACTGAAACAAAAAAAAACCAATTATATTTAGCGAAAGCAATTATTTGGATTGAAAAAATTTTTTTTTTTTTTCGTTGTTCATCTTTGATTATCTCATCATCATGTAATGGTCGAATTTTTTTTTTATTTTTTGTTCAACTCACGTATGGTTTCCAAGTTAAATGCTCATCATCATCATCATCGGATAGACATGAAGGCTGTTGTTGTTGTTGTTTACTTTTTTTCATCATTGAAATTGACATATAAATGTTTTTTTTAACCATTGTGTTCCATGTGATCCAACAAGAAAAAAAAATCCAAAATTCTTGCCTGTCACGATCCATTGATACGTATGGCAATCACTTTAATTTTTTCTTTCTTCTCTTCTCTTCTCTTGTTTTTCAAGTCGAATGATGATGGCCATTTTGATCAATTAATTTTGTTGATAAATTTTCGTTCCAGATTTTTAGATTCCGTTTTTTTTTCTTCATTCTCAAGATTTGCATTAAAATCACAGTGTTTTTTTGCCATTCATACCAATTGGTCATTTGGGTTCGTAATTAATTCTACTTTGTTTTTCTCCATCCAAAATGGTTTCCAAACACAGACTAATCCATTTGCTGGCCAGAATATTCACTATTTTTTTTATTCTTTGTTTTTTTTCTCAAAAATCAATTTAAAATGGTAGAATTAGCCCATAGATATTTCAATTTTAAAACATTATTCTTGTTGGGCTAATAACTTTTGGCAACTACTTGAATAAGATTTTTGTTGTCGTTGTTGTTGTTGTTGTTGTTTTTGTTTTTCTACGGAAAAAACTAAATTAAAAATGATCAAAGAATGAAGAATCTTTGAATTGAAAAACAAAATAATAAAACAATGGCCAAGAAACAAAACAAAACAAAAAAACATTACAACTTTTGTGAAACATACAGAATTGGTGCCAGAAAAAAAATGGAGAATCTTCTTTGTGTGTGTGTGTGTGTGTGTATGTATGAAAGAAAACTTTGATTTATTTTTATTGCCGACTAATGGATCTCTATCCTTTTTTTTTCTTTTTTTTTCGCAATCCGTTATCGTTTTGGTTGTTGTCGTTATTACTATTATTATTATTATTGTTGTTGTTGTTGTCGGTGGTGGTGGTGGTGGTTGATGTATAACGTTGTTGTTGTTGTTGTTGTCTAAATGTTTCAAACAACAACAACAAAACAACAAAACCAAACATAGAAGCGAACCAAATACACATTTTTTCGACAAAAACAAAACAACAACAACAACACACTTAACTGAATGTTATGTTATTATAACATGATGTTCAACTTGCTCATTTGTCAATTCCTTGATAATTCAGCAACAAGAAATAGCAAAAAAAGATGTGAATATAATAGAAACACAGACCATCATCATCAACCGAAAAACAATATTTAATCCAAAAACAAAAAAAAAAACTTTAAATGTATCATACATTCAATATGGTATAAATGGAGTGAAAATGAAAATGTGTTGAAAATTGTTCGAATCCTTTTTTTTTTTTTCTGTGTGTGTGTGTGTGTGAATCAATCATTTTTTCCATTCACTCTTTTGTTTCAACGACAATATATAAATAAATAAATAAATAAAGTATGAGATGAATTTTTGTTTTACACACACGCACACGCACTCGCACCTGACGCATCTCTCATTGTTTATTGTGTTTTTTTGTATTTGAAATTCCACCGATCATCATCATCATCACAATAAATTGTTTGTAGCATAAATAAAAAAAATTTTTTGATGACAAATTATTCAACATGAGATGATTTTTCATTGATTGTAAATGGAATGCCAGCCAAATAGCATGATATTCTTTTTTTCAATTCTCTTATTCTGTAAAGAATTTTTTTGTTTGGGTATGCATGAATTATTCTGTGAATGTGTCTTATTTATATTATTATTACCATTCAACATTCATGTAGTTTGATAATTAAATCACTTTGTTACATGTTTATTGGTATTGTTGGCGTTTTTTTTTCATTTTCTCTCAATCAATGACCGGCAAAATGATTGTTTTTGTTCTTTCCACTGTTTTTGGCGTGATGTTCATGTAAGAGTAAAAGTTATTATTGTCAACAAACAACAACAACCTTAACTCAATTAGTCATATTCGATTTTTTTATGGTCATCATCATCATCATCATCACCATCATTGAACTATTGAACGGAAACATTTTCATATCAATTGGAAAATTATTGCAATTTGTACAAAATTATTGTACCCTACATTGATATATTGATTTCTATGTTTATCACGGAAAACAAAAAATTCTCCCCAATTTCTTAATCATCATCAATCGATAATCAAAACGAATGGATGAATCACAATTTGTTGCGATTAATTTAAAATTGATTATGAGTGATAATGTGTGTGTGTGTGTTTTGTCATCAACGATTGATACAAATTTATCTTACCAAAAAAAAAAAAAAAAACTTTCTGCATACATGCATCATTTTCAACTTTTTTTTTGCCAATGAATCAATACATTTTTTTTGTTGTTGTTGTTGTAATAGTCGATGGCCATTATCCACAATGTATGATGACGACGATTACATACATACAAATAACTGTACTGAAATTTTCTTGAAATTTTATACATTTCTGATCCGTTTTTTTTCATCAATGTATTGGAAATTTCTTTTTTCTCGCTTGCTTAATGCTTTCAAAATGTGTGTGTTTTTTTCTCTTAAAAAAAAGTTTACATTAATTTAACCACTTTATCTCGTCAGAAATTTTTTTTCTTCTTCTTTTTTTTCCATTTTTTTTCTTTCATTGTCGATATCAGTGGAAAAATTTTCATCCAATCATTGTGACAGTAAAAGTGTGTGTGTGTATAGCGATTATACTTGACTAAGAATCGACTATTACCAATAGGGAATTTCAATTCGACGAAGCGGATGTAATAGGTAACTGGAACCATTTCAACAACAATGAAAGAAAAAAAAATAACGATCCACCAACTAAATTCAAAACAGAAAACATTGCTCGAACATCATGTTTTGAGTCTGTGAGTATGGAGAGAGAGAGAGTAAAAATAAGTTAAATTTCGAAATAGTTCAATTTGAAAATAATTCAAAAGTGTAAGAAAATACTTGGATACTTACATGACATAAAATGAAACAGAATGAATAAAGAATAAAAAAAAGACGAACAAAAAAAAAGAAAAAATTCTTGACAGGGGAAAAATACTCGGTTATACACGGTATACTTTTTTTTTGTTTCTCATTGCAAACCGATCCACAACCGACAATACCAATTGATGATGATGATGATGATGATAAAACATTTTAAAAGTTGTGATATATCCCATATTTTCACTGAAATGATTCCAATGATTCCATTGATGATGCATAACATTTTTAAACGAAATTTTCATACAATGAAAAACAAGACAAGATGGAAAACATTTATCTAATTGTCAAGTATAAGTTGTTTAAGTAACTCTTTATCATTTTCAATCGTTTGTCATCAATTGATCATTTCAACAAAGAATTCACTATATATGTGTTTGTGTGTTTGGATCACGCAATTTGTTTAAAGAATAATAAAAAAAAAATTCGTTCCAAAATGTCGTCTTATTACACATTTTACCTCGAATTTTTTTTAGTGTTTTTTTTTCTCTTTGTTCAAACCATTTTAAATAAATGGTAGTAGTAGTAGTAGCTTGGTTACCAAACCAATTAAATTCTCGACGATCAACATCCACCAACAAGAAGAAAAAAAACTCTACGATACAGAATATAAAATGTTCAATTTTTTTTCACCAGAAAAAAAAAATAACCATTTGTATGACAATTTTTATTCTGTATGCCTCGCTAGAATTTCCACCTTAGAATGTAGCAGTCTTTTATCGAATTTTTTTTTTCGTTGTTGTTCTCTTCTTACTACCTATTAGTGTCTCCTACCATTCAATGGCATGATGATAATTAGTAATAGTTGATGATATATAGAACCATATATATATTGTCGTTTTTATTCATTCAAAATTGTGGCACAAAGTAAAAAAGACAATATTCAGAACAAAAAAAAAGTTGACTTGAATTTTTTTTCCCCCCTTTTTTTTAGTTCTTTCTTGTTTCAAAAAACTTTATAAGTACAATACAATAAGCTTAATGGAACGACAATTTCAAGTGCCGAACGAATAAATGAATGAATGAGATAACGAGTAGATGAAAAGTATCGGCCGAAAAGATCTTTTTCTTTTTTTTCTTTTATTCTCGTGAATCAGAATATGGCAGAATATATCATTATTATGATTATGATTATGATTATTACCATAACAGGATTCTTTATTTTTTATACTTTCATTACTTAACATTACATTATTATTCAATTACAAGTTCAATTTTTTTTTTAATTCGTTTTGATAAATTTCAAGTGTTTCGAAAAAAAATTAAAAAATAAGGATAAGCTGAACTATTGGAAAATTTTCTAAAATCAACTAAACAAATTCTACGTTTATATTTCATATAATATTTTCTTAAAAAAATTTTCTTGGAAAAAAAGTCAATCATGAAAATGAATTTACCATTTGTCTTGTTTATGGTTGTGTTTTTTTTTTTGTTTTTTTCTGGTAAAAATAGCAGTGTTTCATCGTTATCATCATCATTGAATGATTAACCATCTTTCTTTTCATCTTGTTTCGGCACAACTTCTACTGGTTGTGTTATTTGTTGGAAAAATTTTGATAATGAATTTGTCAATGAATTAATCGATGATGATGATGATGATGGTAGTTGTGGCTGTGTATCCGTTGCAATGAAATATTCATTATTCGATTGTTGTCGCAATAGGCCATTGAGTCCAGCCGATGCATCTTTACCAACATTTTGTGTTTGACTGCCGAAATTTTTCATAAAATTATTAATCGAATTCATTGCTTCATTAAAATTTTTACTAATCGTTTCGGATAGATTTGTTGGATTCAATGTTTCACTGATTGAACTCCATGCACTAGTAACAGTATCGGTGATACATGTTTTTGTATCAAAATTTTCACATAATTTTTTCACAGCTTGCATTGCCACATTTGATTCTAATGAATTTAATTTTTCTTCATAATGTGATTCTTGACAAATTCTTGTCGATCTTGCCACTGTTACGTAAGCTTTTACACCTTGTACACATAAATCATAACGTGCATTTTTACTGTAAATAAACAAACAAACAAACAAAAAAAATAACATTCTTTTTCACAACAATTTTTCAATCAAATACATACCAACAAGCATTTTTTGGATCCAAACTATCCATCGAAATAAGTGTTGATCGAATAGCTTTACAGCTGTCTATCATTGAATCCAGAACTTTGTCGCAGGTTTGATTCTGTCCATAAGCCACTATGAGAGAGATAAAGAATTTAAACGACAGTATAAATCACGATTGTACATTGTATAATTTCCGTTCATACCTGCGATCAATAGCATTAAGCAATAAAAAGATACTTTAATCATCATTGTTGTTTGTTGATGTTGTAGAAAATTCTTGAATTAACACACAAAATGAATAATAATCTATGCTCGACAATGTCCAAATGTCTTGTGACTATATTATTAAGATTTGTATAAATAAACCAAACTAAACACACACACACACACAAACACTGAAATGCAAAAAACAAACCAAAATGTTCATGTTTATCATATAATTTTATTATTATTATTACTTAGTTTGGAAAAATTTTCTTTTCCTTTTATTGATAATCGATGGTAGTGGTGGTGGTGATGATGATGATGATGATGATGGTAAATAAATGTTATAACACATATCACATTCGCTGATTTTATGAAAAAAAACACATTCAAACCTTGAAATCTATTTGCTATATTAATCATCATCATTCATCATCATCATCATCATTTTAAAATCATAAATGTTGATGAATAAGCAGATTGCCAATATCGATAGCTTTTTTTTTCTCACGTTCATAATCTCATTCGATTCATCAAAACATGGCCATCATTTCCAATATGTTTCATCATGCACAAACACAAACAATTTAAAAAACAAAATAACCGCATCGAACATTTTTTTTAATGGCCTTTATGACGCCATCTATTAGCCATTTTTCATTTTATTCATTTTTCAAATTATTATATCATCATTATCATTATATAGAAAAAAAATTATACAAATTTCAAAAAAAATATCAAATCCTAATTCTTGTTGTTGTTGTTGAATTGAGTCGGAAGAACTGGAAAAATCATCATCCCGAAGAAACAAATGAATTTAGCTAAGATAACCAAAACCGAAAAAGATCATCACCATCAACATATATGTACTGATTTATTAATATAAAAAAAGCTGAATTATAAATATGTAAGACAATCTTAATGAATTCTAAATTATAATATATTATATATAAATCCTAAAAAAGAAGACGATGATGATGATGATGAATTCAAGTTTTTTCTTTTCATAAATAAAATTATTATATTATATATTGGCAATGTTTGAATGTTTTGAATACCCAAAATTAAAGATGAAAATGATGAAGAAAAAAAAATGAAAATGAAAGTTTCATTTGTATCAATCAATTGAATCGTTCTCTGACTAGACACATCAATTTTTTCTTTCCTTTATAAAGTGTTTTAATATTTTCCAATAGTTTGGCAAATTCATTTTTACCATCCGGTGCCAATATGATTGTTTCTTGTGCTCGTGTTAAAAATTCAATAAAATCACCATAATGCCGTGGACTGATATGTTCTAATCGTCGCATGACAGCTTCAATATAGGCTTTTACAGCTGCATAAAGTAAATTACATAATGGTGGCCGATCCAATGGATATGTTTTAAATTGTCGCCGACGCATTCGTTCTTCAAGACTTAGATGTTCCATGACAATATTTGATGAATCAGGAACATAGCTTAAATTGATATTATTAGTACGGACATTATTTTGGCCAATCATGACAGGTTTCGGTAGAACCGGATGAGGTAGTGTACAACGACGAATCATATCGGCCAAAACCGGTGCACAACGTACATTTTTAATCAAAATATCTACAAGTTTATTAAGTTCTTCTGTGCCAAGACATTGTGCCAAACTGCAGGCCCATTGGAGATCATTAATCGAATGATGTGAATCAGCTGTCAATGGTATAACCACTTGATTGGCAGCTAATAATGCAATCTTACAAGCACGTTCGGAAGCACCTTGATGTTCGAGATATCGTGCTATTGTAAACAATTTATGTGATCCAATCTGATTTAATGAGGCAGCCGTTTCAACTACTTTGGCAATCGTATCGAATGCATATTGATCCTTTTCACATAATGATAATGCATTCAATGCACAACTGGATGGATCGCGCATTGCACATTCGACAGCTAATTTTCTAGCTGTACTTGCCAATTCTTCTGAACGCATTATATGATCACGAACACAAAGACGTGAATTGAAATTCTGTGCCAATACTGCCGATGCTACATGACGAACCGCTTCGGATGGACTAAAATATTCTTTCCAATTTCTCATTAGATAAACAATTTTATCATAACCAATCTCGGTGGCACAAGTCACTAGCCAATGTATGGTATTCTTACGACAACTATCATTTGTTTGATCATTCAATGTTATTTTGGCCAAATGAAGTCCAAATTGATATGCAATACGTAGAAGATATTCTTGACGATTACCATTCGAACTAAAATTGAATATATCTTGAGCCAATTTGTTTAAATAATGTGGATCAATGACATATGTTTTGATAGTTTCAAATATAAGAAGTAATTGTGCATAATCATTACGAGCAGCAAATAACATTGTTCGTGCCAAAAGTGATTGTACATCCAAATACATGTCAAAAAAATTTGATCGTACTGGCAATTGATCTGCTTCTGTTGATGATTGATGTTCATCTTTGAATGCAAAAAATCTAGACACAAAAAAAAGTATTAAGATTGAAATTTGTAGATTGAAAATCTCTACAACATACCTGAGTGATCGAAGACCAATATCATAAGATAAATCGGGAAATGTTGGAAGAAGTGCTCCAAACATATAGCGTACAAGACCGGGTATTTGAACAACATCAGATGGTACAAACAGTTGTCTATGTTCACCAGTCACCATATCACTGAGTATACCATATTCAATTAGATAACGTGCCTGTTTTTGTATGGTAGATATTAGTATTGAATCCAATTTTATATCCAACAATTTTCGTATCAATCGTTCTTCTTGTCGATAACTACGATCACGTTGACTTTCAAGATCTGGTGATCGACGAAGCTGTGATAGGCCAACCAATGCAATGTATACGGCTGCATTTAGATATGTATCCCAATATTGTGATGAACCGGGAACTTTTACATGATTGAATTTGAGTTTTTCATTGTTGATATCGTTATTATCATTAACATTGGATGCCATATTACCATCTTTATCGACCAAACCATTAACTTCATTATACATGACAAACATATCGACCAGAACATTTCGGCTAAATATACCCATATCGATTTTTTTATCATAACCAATCAAAGCATAATGAGCATCATATGATCTTGAATCACTTGTAACAGAAGCTTCGGCTAATGTATCGAATAAAATTTCAATCGGATCTAATGGATTACCGATCCATGAATCAGAAGATGGAACAACATGGATAAGACCTATATTTTCCTGTTCTTGAATATGTTGTCGATGACGAAACAAACGAACGATGGCCATTGAAAGACGAAGAGCTTCTTGTAAACGACCATTCACACGTAATGAGGCAACTCGTACGCAAGCCGTAGGCAAATGTTCTAATTAGAATTAGATAATAATTATAAAAGCTTCAGAAATGGGCAAATAGAAATAATTAAATTCATACCTGACCAAATAGGGAAGCCATCTTTATCGAAATCATCTGAATAATAATATAGACAAGATTTTCCATCAATTGGCCCATCTTGACGAAGAATCAATTGTAAATGTGCATCATCCCAAGTAATGTAAGAAGCATCCAATGCTCGTTCTAAAATTCGACGTTTTCTGAATGGAACATTGTGACCATTGCGAGAAGCATTGACAATCAATCTTCTATCATGTTTACTACAATGAGCCATTGGCTCATTTTCTGATGAAGATGAACAACGATGTGATGTATCATGGGTTGTTTGTACATTCAGATTAAAATATGTATCCTCACGGGGACAATTTGAAATATGTGACCAATGGCGAAACATTTCACGCCATTCTACACGTTTTAATGGCGATAACGATGGATCAGCCACAATAAATGTCCAAAGATTTGTCAGATGATCCCATAGGAAAATGAATGGATCAAAATACATTTGTTCAAATGCATCTTCTGGTTTAAGATAATGTGAATAGGAATAAAGAAATTGTTCGGTTATGATACGCAAGAATCGTGATCCATTGGAATCTTTAATCTTGAGCATTTCAATGACCTAATTTTTTCAATGAAAAACAAAATCAATACGGCTATATATGATTGAATCATTTTTATTTTACCTTATAGAAAAGTAGAATAATTTTATTCGATTCCGATATGCTAACATATTTGACCAGATCTCTAATCTGTGCGGCTGTTCTTTCCTCATTCAGATACCAATCATGTGGCCCGTAAACACAAGCACCGGCTGTAGGATCAGGTGCACCATGAATTAAATTAATTGGTGCATGTTTCTGACTTAATTCGTCTGTAAGTCTTTGCACCGTTGGTAATATTTGCACATGATGTTCGGCTATTAAATATTGCACCAATTTTTGTAATTGCTGCCGATCCATATCGAGTAAAGTTTCTATCAATAATCATGTTTATTAATAATTGGTAATCAATGAATATATTCTCATGACATACCTGAAATTGGAATGCGGAGATCAAATGAATATGGTTTATGTATTCTATACAATGCCAATGCGACTACATGTTCACACCAGAATAAATGAACAACACGTGGTGTACATGTACAAGTTGCCGATGTAATCTTACATCTGTAAATATGTTGGTGGAAGAATAAGAAAAGAAAAAAAAACGAACAAATGTTAGTGATAAAATGATTATTTGATTCAAAAAAAATACTACCTATCAAATGTAATTGATACTAAACATCCATTGAGATTTGTTTTTCGATATGACGAGCTTGAATCCGATATATTATGATTATTATATGATGAATGATAGGTTCCATTCCGATCACCTTGAAATAGTTTCATCAAATTCGCCTCTGACGATTGAATGGCCAATGCTGTCGACGACGACGACGACGATGATGATGATGATGGATATGATGAAATTGTTGGATAAAATGAACCAGATGATTGTATCGATGGATGTGATTGTTTATTAAATTGAAGATCAATTACTATTCCGGTTAGATTAAATCCTGTTGTTTTTTTAATGAACAAAAAAAAATTCAGTTAAACAAAAATAACCATTCTAAAACATTCTTTTTTTATTTATATTCAAGATAATAATTCTGACAAAGCAAAACACAAAAACAAACAAACAAACAAACAGAAAAAATCTTTTCAATCTAATGGTAAATATCGAACAATCTAGTAGAAAATGAAAATTGAAATCTTTCAAGTGCCGATTATAAAATTGAGACAATGAATTTGTCTATTCATCTTGTTTTAGTTACTACTGTTTTTACCATCTTGATGATCGAATAATCAAATATAAACCATACACAATAGAACAGCTTGAATTTTGAAGAATTTCCATTTTTTTTACAATCCTTAAAGAAATGTTGCCTTTTGTTTGCTGTTCAAAGCATCATCATCATCATAATAATCATTAAACTGAAAGAAAAGATGATCGATATTTCATCTAAAAACACACGAACACTAAGCCCACTACCCACTACCCACCACCACACCGCATGACTAACATTTTGTCGTGACAATCACATCAAACGTCTATCTATAACCACTTGTGATCAATAATAATCAAACACAAAAAAAAAAAAAAAAAATTGAATGAAATGAAATGAAAAAAAATGACAAGGCATATTGTGTTCATGATTAGAGATTGGGCAAAAAAAAATCGAAATTCAAAAACTTTCAATAAATAACAAGTTAGAGTTTTTTTATGGCCATCATTCAAGCTTCAATTGGTCAAGTTCTCCAGGTATAGATACATTAATTCTATTCTTTCATTCATTCATTCAAAAAAAAAAAAATTCTATCAAATTTCAACTGACCAACCATCGAACACCTGAATGAATACGAGTGTATGTGTCACCGACCTTTTTGGATCAACATTTTTCCGACCATTTTGTTATGATAAATTACAATACTGCATAGTGACCAGTGTTCCAAATAATAATATTTTCAGCAAACAAATTCCACCAAAAAAAAACACTGTGTAAATATTTCATGGAACAAAAAAAAAAACTACCCTTACCATAGATATTAGTGGGGAATGGTAGTCAAAATTGATTGACGGCCAATGTCTACCTAGTTTTCTTTTTCTGTTTCTGTTTTTTTTTTTTTGAAATGTCGGTGACCTAGGCCATTCGCGAAAAAAAAAAATTGCACGTTCACGCAAACAACTTAGTGTAATATAATGATTATTATTAAAAAAAAAGAGAGAACGCTTCAGGTGATTTTCTCGTACTTTGCCTTTTTTTTCACTTGGTTTGCAGGTCGTTTTGGTTGGCTGGTCGGTCGGTCGTTCGGTCGGCCGATTGATCGATCGATCTTTCGATCCATACATCGTATAGTTAGTGTTTAGTACCACAATTTCAAAAAGCAAAAAAAAATTCCATTCAAACAAACATAATTTTTGAATGGAAATTATTTGCAGCAGCAGCAGCAGCAACAGCCGTTGTTGTTGTTGTTGTTATTGTTCGCTGCGCTCTAATGAACAATGGCTCAACTTTAAGTTGAGAGATGATGTATTTAACTCCATGCAATAATTTTCATAAACTGGACTAAAATTAAATGCTTTACTAATGTGTGTGTGTGTGTGTGTGTGTGATAGATAATTTTTTTTTTAGAAAAAAATTGCTTACCAATTTGCATAACTTGACGAACAGTTCCAGAACAAAGTAAATGTAATCCTTTATTAAATGTTGATCTAGATTCCCATTCATGATCATGATGGCTAGCTGTTGATGTTGTTGCTGTTGTTGTTGTTGTTGTTGTTGATTACCTATCAAATTTGATGATGATGATGAGGATGATGTACCTACAGCAGCAGCAGCAGCAGCAGCAGTAGCAGAATTTGTACCATTCGTATAATTTGCTAGATTAAAATCCTGTTTAAATATTGATGATATCGATGAATAAAGGCGGATATAACGTTCATCACGTGGAAATGACCAGAATATTATTCGTTTCTGTACAGGTTCAGGTATACAGCTATATTGTTGTTCAATATATTCATATGGTATGTATTCAGCAACAAAACGTGCAGATATTTCTAATAATGATTCTGGTTCATATGTGGATTTTTGACCAACTAATGAATTTGGATTTATTAGATCTGTTCCGGTCGATGTTGATGCTGTCGAAGTGGTTGTTGATGATGTTGGAATGGTAGATTTATCTGATTGTATTCTTGAAGATCTACCTATAATCGAATGATGACCATTTGAATTCTGATTCCGTAGTCTGATTGTCCATTCTTTATTCGGTTGTTGAATAGATGATGATAATGATGATGTTGGATGTGATTGCGAAGGTGATGGTGGTGGTATAGGTGCTTGAAATTGATGTTGACATCGACAACAATAAATCTGTGCACATTGTCGCCGGGTTTGATATTGATGTGATTGATTTGATAATTGTCCATGTGATGAATAGGCACCAGGAAAATAAAGGCATCTTCCGTGAGCTACTTTTGAATGTATTCGATAATTCGAAATCGATGATGATGGTGATGTACGTAATTTACGAAATTGATTTGATTGTTTTGAGCAATCTCGATTTGAATATGTTGTCGATGATGAAATGCTAGTAGTTGGTGGTTGATCATCATTTCTATTTATTGTTGATGATGATGATGATGATCCAATCTTACGTTTGGATTCGAAATTTTTTCATCATCATCATCATCATCATTATTATTAGTGACGTAAGTTTTTACAGAATAATTTCTACCACCATTGGAACAAATTGATTTATTATCATTATTAGCATCGGATTGATCAACAGCAACAATGACATTATTATTATTATCATCTTCCATACATAAACGTTTCGAGGATGATGATGATGATGATGGATCATCATTCGATGATGATGATGAAGACGACATTATTATTGCATCAATTCTGTTTTCATAGCTGAAAATGGGCAATTTTATTTATAATGAAAATGATTTGAATCATCATCATCAATAATTCTTCAATATAATCGATGGCCAATTGATTCAATTAATTATCATCATCATTCTCACGATTGATTAAAGGCATTCGACACAAACATTGGAAAAATGAAGCACACATAAGACGTATATGAATTTTTATCGAAGACAATTTTTTCAATGGAAGAATTTTTTTCAATTAAAACGAAACGCAAATGAAAAAGATTCAACTGATTTCTTTTTTGGTTGACTTTGAGTCCATGTGCAACAACAAATTCATGTGATGATCAATCAGATTTTTTTTTTTCGTAGAATTTCAAAGTGAAGAATTTCGTTTTCTTTTATTTTGTGTGTTTTCGGATCTCAATCATTTATTATTGCTACGCATTTAATATTAATTTCGGACTAAAAAGAAAACAAAAATCGAAATTCGACGTTGTTGTTGTTGTTGTTGTTGTTGTAGTTTTATTATAACCAAACAAAACAGAGGAACAGACATTGACGATTACGAAAGAGACGTAGATAATTTATATAAATTATTACAGTAGTACATCGATTAACGATATTGTTTCGTTCAATGATGGTTGAAATTTTTCCAATTAATGATCATTACCTATGTTAAATTGAATTGAAGAGGAAAAAGATTTTCAAATTGCATTGACACAATCATGTTTGGATTTGAAGTTCAAATTCCAACAAATTTTCACTGACCATATTTAGTTTGTTTGGATGAATTCTTATAATTGTCTGTCGTCAATTCTTATTAACGATGATTTCTAATAACGATGGTAGTCTTGGAACGGATTACCATCGATAGCCGAGTTAGCACTGTATTGCTATAAAACTATGCAATTGAATTACATCAATCAATCAATCAGTCAATCATTTATTCAATGATAATGTGAAGATTGTTATCTAAAATACTGTATTTTATGATGTATATTAATAATTCAATTAATCGAATATTTTTGATGTTAATGTTGATGTTGTTGTTGATGATGATGATGATGAATTTCAATCAATGTAGAAATTGATCCAAAAAATTGTGCCAATAATTCCAATGATACATTGGAATTTCTTTCAAAGTTAATCTTAACCGCTGCCAAAAAAATGAAAATCACAACAAAATTGTCACCGCATCTACAATTACATCAGACATGGCAAATTGCAATACACACACACACACATAGATCAAAACCGAATTGGATGATGTAAAAGAAGAAGAAGAAGAAGAAGAAGAAAACGCCCACTATCACATCAATCAACATAAAAATATTCAATTCGAATGAGATCAAATGATGACAAGGATTCTGGAATTTTTTATTAAACTTGAAAAAATCTTGTGATTGACAACAACAAAACACAAAACGATGATTCAATGTTATTGTTGTGATTTAATTATTGCTTTTTGTTTGTTGTTGATGATCCTGGTTGAATCGAAATCGACACAGAAAAATCTGATCACTGATTATTGCTTAACGATGATGAATAAAATGGTAGAAAAAGATTTCATTTCACTTTTTGTTGTTATCGTTGTTGAATGTATTTTTTTTGTTTGTGTGTCAAATGTAAGTGTGTGCGTGTAAAAAGATTGTAAATATCGTTGTTTTTGACACCAAATACAGAAAAAAAACAATAAAGTCGATGATGATGATAATCAGCCATCCACAAATACACAAACCACACACACACACACACACACACACAACAGAGACAAACAATTGAATCAATCAGCCAAACACACAACAGATCCAATGATGATCAAACCATAGTCATTCCATTTCCAGACGATTCAATATATTGAATCTCAGTGTCTGTCATAGAGTCTTTGTGTGTGTGTTCAGTGCAATGGCACCAAAAAAAAAAAAAAAAATTATCTGTCGTTCTCTAACTTTCTTTCTTTGTGTGTGTGTGTTTGTGAATGTGAGAACAGGCGAGAATTACAATGATGAGACAAACACACTCACACATTCACATTCATAATAAACAGAGAGTTTTCGCTATCTTTCATTCAAATCATTTTTTTTTCACTTTTATTCCTCATCCTCCTCCCATGTTTTTAAAAGTAAAAACTTTCTCCACCACCACCAACAACAACAACAACAACAACAACAAAATCGTGTGTTTTGTTTTGTTTGTGTATAGTTATTATTATTATTATTATTAAATGCACAAGTGGAACGACAACGACGACAACGAATAAATGAATATAAGTGAATGAGACGTTCCGATCAGAATTTTTTTTTTTATAATAGTATAAAGAACACACAATTGAAAAGGAAGAAGAACAAGATGAAGATGATGAGGAGGATGGAAAGAAAATTACTTTCACTTTATGGTAGTAGCAATAATAATAATGGGAAAAAAAAACCATAAAATAAGTTTTGTCTTATTTTCATTCTTTTTTTTTTTTTTGGTTGTGATCTAAATTTTGTTTGTTTGGTCTCGACCAAATAAACAAAATAACAATAATAATCATGTGTGTGTTAGGCCAAGGTGCATGCACATAGAAAATTTTTCCTCCTCATTTGAGGGTGAGAAATGAAATGTACAATGAAAGTGAGAATTTTTGTAAATGCTTCGCCCACAAAATTTATGCTACTTACGTACATAATATATAAACAAACAACGGTAGTAGCATAAAATATAATGGCTACACGTGATAAATTCCATTTAAAGGGGTAGTGGTTTGTGATGTTGGTACTGGTGTACATATATCATTATTAAAAAGAACAAAAAAAAATAAATAAATATGCGCATGTCAATAAAATATGACGGCATTTAATAATCCACCAATTGATGATGATGGAATGGAACAGAAATTTTTTTTTTTTTTTATTGAATTGAAAAAGATGTTGTAATGTAATGTATTTAGTTACTCGAACAGACGATGTTTAAACATGCACATGCATGCATGCATGTTATTTGATTAATAAAAATGACTGAAATGATGATGATAGTGATTGTTGTTGTTGTTGGTAAGAATGGTTTCGACCAAACAAAATATATGTATCCTATATGCCCATTCCTCTTCCCAAATTTTTTTTTTTTTCATTTGTAATGTTTATCAATGTTCTCTTAACCCCTATATTTTTCAAACGGATTTTCTTTTCTTTTTCTCCCATCTCATCCGGTATTAATCACATACACACACACACACCTAAACAAACAGAATTGTTTTTGTTGTTGTTGTTTTTATATCCCATCACATCACACATTTTTTGCAATATAAAGTGTGTTATTGACAAATGAGATTTCTGTTTCTCAAAATTCTCTACAATTCAAACAAAAAATGAGAATAAAAACATACACACACACACACACACGCATAGTACTTGATGTCATTCAAAACATCTCAAATCTTCAATGTTTGTGCAAAAAAAAAAAAAAAAAAAAAGAGCAACCGTCGAAAATAATGTTTGAAAATCTGTGGAAAAAAAAATGAAAAAATTTCCAATTGAAATTAATTCCTGCAAACAACAAAAAACCGAAGAAGAAGAAGAAAGAAGAAAATTCATTAAATTCAATGCCAACGGAGAAATGTCCTTTGTCCGGATGTTTCCAAGTATTTTTTTTTTCATCAATTCTATCTGGTCGATCTAGTTTTGTCAGGTTCATTATTATTATCACCATCATCATCATCATTGAATTTTTCCTGCTATTATATAATATATGAAACTGGCAAAAAAAAACCAGATAGAATTTTGAATATCAATGTGTACCACTACCCATTATAATGATGATGATGATCATCATTATCAACGCCGTCATTTCCACCAAGAACCATCATCATCATCATCGACAACAACAACAAAAATTATAATGACAATGACCATGCGTGCGTGAAAAATTCATAGACAAAAAAAAAAAAAAAAAAAAAAAAAAAAAAAACACATCCATGAACAAAAAAAATTGCCGGTAGTAGAATTTTGAATGATAGTGAAAACATATAGAATGGAAAATTAAAATTCAAAAAAAAAAAAAAAAATGCAGCTGTCAGGGAGGTTTGTGTTTTTTTTCTTCACTCGATTCTCTCATCACATCATCTATCTATTCGTGCCATTATTATTATCATCATCATCATCATCATTATCTTACAACTACAAACTGTATGACGATGATGATGATGATGATGATTGATCAAGATCAAAAAAAAAAAAAAAAAGTTAAAGACCAGTTTTCATTTCCTTTTCTTTATACATAAATAAAATGAACACACGACAACCACAATATAATGATGATGATTCGAAATACGATCTAACCACCTTTTTTTGGAATTTGAATTGTAAATGCATGCATGCATGCATCGATTTCTATTCAATTCGATTCGATAATGATGATGATGATGATGAGGGTTGAGAAATGGAAAAGAAATGAAATTCTTACAAAATTCATAATGGGAATTTTGAATGTTCTTTTTTTTGTTATCTCACACCATTAAAAAACATATATAATGATAATCCAGAAAAAAAACGTTTTTCTATCATTGATTATCATCGATTGATCATCATTGATGAAATTAAATCAAGATGGTGGCGATTTTTTTTCTAAAAAAAAAATCTGGTACGTGTTTGTTTTTTTTTTCATTTTTAAATATTCAAATTCAGCAAACATCAGCAAAAACACACACACACACAGAATACATGAATTCATGAATTCAGGGTAATAAAAAAAAAAAAAATTTTGTTGACTAAGTAGCCTGGGTGCGGCCATTTTTTTTATATTTAATTTAATGTTTGTATATAAATCTTGCCGTCTATATATCTTTGTATGCCTATATTATTATATAACATTACATTAAACCTACACACACACACACACACATATATCCGTATACAGACAACAAAATGGTATTTGTATGCATCTTAATCATTTCATTCCCTTTTTTCAAAAAAAAAAAAAAAAAAAAATGCTGCTACATTAAATCTGAATGTATAACATTAAAAAACGATCCATTGTCCCCTATAAATAGTGTTGTTGTTGTTGTTGTCATTATGGTTTTTTTTTGGATCGTGGAACAACAACAACAACACTAGATGGCCAGTCATCATCATCATCATGGTGTTTGGAAGTAGCATTTATTAAATATACGGTGCATGTGCGAGTGTTGTTCCATTTTGGGTTTAAATTCTTTTTTTTTTTTTATTTCTGTTGACCTTATGAATGTTTAGTTGATTTTTTTTATATATCACGAATCAATTATGGTTTTTTTTGAAAATAATAAAAATTCACAATTGGATTACCACCGCAGCGCCAAAACCGACACCGACACACACACACACACAGACAACAGCTGAACCCAATTTTTTCAAAGCAAATGTGAAATAAGATATAATAATGGCATAATGAATTTAAATTTTTTTTTCTTCTTCTGATCATATCAAATTCAATATAGAAACACAAACACACACACACAAAAAAAAAAGGAAATCCGGAATTTTTTCTCATTATTAAAATTCACACAAACAAATTTAATACGCCATCTTTTGTTGGAAAATTGAACTAAATTGAATTTTTTTTTAATTGACCATTTGTAATTTGACTATAAACGGACAAATTAGTCAAAAGCAAAAAAAAAAAATTCATTGTTTTTTTTATTGATAACGTTGTTAAAACTAAAATCAACAAGTGAATATATATATATGCTAGGTCTCATATGATATAGAGGGCGCCTTGTTTCAATGAATTTATTGTCAAAAAAAAAAAAAAAAAAAAAAACTGGTTGTACGTATATATTACTACTTTATGTGCTGTATATCAATTAATTTCGACGTAGTAGCATTCAAAAATATAAAACATCACTCATACACACACATACACACACACAAACACGTGCCATTATTATTATTATATTATTATTTGATGTATGACGCATCAATTCTCAACATTGACTTTCATCCTGATAACGACTATAAAAATAAATATTAAACGGTATACATAGGAGAAGCAATAGCTAATGCTACACAACATAACATTATAGACATGATATAAGATGCTGCTACAACGGGTTCACATACTACTGAATACTGCAAACAAAACAAAAACAAAAAAAAAAAAAAATTGAGGGACATTACATTCTATATTATTAATTCAATGTGAAAAAGTTAACATTGTGGCTGTTCTGGCCATAATAATATTTTTTTAGATACAACTACTGCCAATATGTATGGATTTCATCATCATCATCATCATTGCTACCACCACCCAATGTTGAACAGCAGCACGACCATAACAACAACAACAACAACAACAACAACAACAATAATAATAAACAGCAGACTAAAAACAAAACAAGAAGATTGAACGAATTTGATACAATTCGATTCGTATATACGATGAAACAACTCCCATTTTTTTTTTTTTTTTTGAAAGAAAGAAAGAAAAAAAACATCCATTTGGTACATTCATCAGTGAATAAAATAAATAAATAAATAAAAATTTTTCAAAGTTTAAAAAGCATAATTTTTTTTATATTTTAAAATCAAATTTTCATTGACTTTTTTTTCGGTGTATAATAATAGTGACATTGATTGAATTGTTTGTTTGTTTGTTTTGTTTGTGTTTTGTGTTTCAATTCAATGGTGTTTTTTTTGAACACTAGGCGATAATAATAATAACCACCATCCATTATAATTTTTTTTTCTTTCTCTGTATCTCTATCTATCTATCTACAACAACAACAACAACAACAACAACTGTATGTATCGTTGTTGATCCATGAACATCCATAGTTGATTTTTTGTTGTTGTTGTTGTTGTGTTCAAAGAAAAATAAAAAAAAAAGCTTTACAAGGACATTATTGGCTATTGTATTTTGGCTGCATGATTTGTTAAATTCATTTACATACATACACATTGAATTAAAAGCAGGTAAGCAATATAGTTTTTAGATATATGATGGCCAAATAAATCAGTTATATTTCTTTTTCTGTTTTCATAAAGAAAAAAAAAACATAAACATCGAAATTTCGAGCACGGATTTTTTTTTTACTTTCATATTTATATACGTCATCATCATCATATGTTAACCACATTGATTCGAATTTTATTTCAAAATTGGAACCAATTTTGTTTTTCCGTTTTTTTGTTTTTTTTGTTTGATTCTCAATCATCATTGTTGAAAATATAGTTATTGTTTGTTTGTGTGTATGATACATGTATATAGTTGATTTTTGATTTCAGTTAATATATACCTAAAATCCCTATTACCCTAGCATTACTGATCATTATTATTATTATCATAATGTCGACTGATGTATTGAATAGTAATGCAGCCACTGCTAATGCTGTTCCAACCGTAGATAATAATAATGGAACATCAAATACATCGGCCAATAATTCATCGAATAATGGCCAAATAGAATCGACAAATTCATCATCTTCATCGTCGTCATCTTCGTCATCGTCATCTACAGCTTCAACATCTAATACCACATTATTGGCTACACAGCCACAACAAGCATCAACTTCGATGATGGGTGCACCCACTTCAGTTGTGGTCACTATATCCACTCAACAACAACAGCAGCAGCAGCATCAGCAGCAACAACAACATGCCCAACAAGGACCTTCCACATCATCGCAATCGACATCATCCTTGGTGGCTGGACCATCATCACAGGCCTCATATGTTGGCATCATAAACGAAATACCGGGCACATCGTCGACCTCGATGCAATATCTAACCGAAACTGCCACATATTTGCATTCGGTGATGAGTCAAGGTCAAACCCAAACATCACATCATCTAATACATCCGATTCAATCATCATCATCATCGATAGCATCGTCTTCCGGATCTCAGAGTTTAGCTACCGAAACAGGTGTAGTAACGCAAAATGTACATCATTTGATCAAAAGACCATTCGAATCAAATATGGATAAATTGTTGACCGCCGATGATTCCTGTGGTTCGGCATCTTCATCTTCAAAACGTTCAAAAATGTCATCATCATCTTTGTCGCCACCACCGTCTAAATTGTTTGATGCTGATGGCCTGACAATGCGTCAAAAACTTGAACAACGATTAAATGGCATTCTCTGCTGTGCTGTATGTTTGGACCTACCACGTTCATTTGTCTATCAAGTATGTACATTGTTCTAACATTAGCCAAATAATAATTGATTGCATTTCTGATTATTTCTGGCCAGTGTACGAACGGACACCTGATGTGTGCCGGATGTTTTACACATGTATTGGCCGATGCTCGTCTACGTGATGAATCACCCACCTGTCCAAGTTGCCGAGTGAATATATCGAAAGAATCTTGTAGTCGTAATTTGGCCGTAGAAAAAGCCGTGTCCGAATTACCAGGTGAATGCCGTTTCTGTCAACGAGAATTACCGCGATCAATGTTGGAGAAACATATGACTGAAATTTGCGAAGAAAGAATAGTACCATGTAGTTTCAGTAATATTGGCTGCCCTTGGAATGGGCCCTTTCACGAAGCTGGTAAGTTTATTTGCCTGAATGATCGATAATCGATGGCTCATAGTGTCTTATGTATGATCATTAGCCTATCATGCTAATGATTGTAGTCATCCGAATAAATCGGCACGTGAAGTATTGGCTCATCTGGAGAATGAGGAACGTCGTAGATGTGAACAACGTCGTGTTCATGAAACTTTGTTCACATTGTTATCATATGAAAAGATTGCCTTTCATGATATACAATTTCGACCATACCGAACTGATGAATATATACATAAATTGTTCTATGAAACATCTCGATTTACCGCATTCAACCTGCAATGGGTGGTCAAAGCACGTGTTAATGATGATCAACGAGATCCAACACAATCCTGTCAACGACATCTGAGTTTTCAGCTTTGTCTCAAATCAAAGATCAACAATGCAATGACTATACACTATATGTTACTCAAGGTAAGATTGATTAGTATTGGCTTTATTTATTAATATACTAAATTTCCACATTTATTCCAGGGACCACTTGGTGAAGCAAAAGTGCTACCCATGATATATAAATTTGATTTCAATGAATCACAGACTGAATCCAATTATAATTGCATAAATTTAGCATCAACAAATGCTGATTCAAATCGTCTACTAGCAGAACGTACGATTAATTTTCGTTTAATCATGTTTCAGGCAAGCAAATGACGACGTTGTCGGTGATGGTATTGGTAATTTAGAGTCATCTGTATTCCATTTTCATACAAAAAAAAACTAACATACTCTCTACAAACATTTTCGATTCATATCGATCCATCCATCACCGTTCATTATTGATCATCATCGTCATCAAACCAGATATTTGGATACAAAAAAAATTATTTTTTTTTGTTAATTTTCTTTTTTTTGTGTTTATGTTAATTTGTTTAATTTCATTTGATTTGATTACACATCATCAACAAAAACACCACCTACATTAATGTTAATTGTTAATTTAGCTTTAGCTATGTGACATTTGTAACTAACTAACCATTTTCATCTTGGTTAAATAAAAGTTTTTTTTTTGTTCTGTTCATTATCAAATATACAATTATCTCATATTAATTGTTGTAGAATTGGATCATTACCAGGTTGAGAATTGTATCAGGATGATAAGGTCACCATGACTACGTCATTCGATGACACACCTATGCAATCTGATGAATGGCAATCAAGCTGTATGCAATGTGTGTGTGTGTGAGTAATATATAAGAAATTATAATTTGTCACATCATTACATTATTATGACATCGGCTGTATATACGTTTTTTTTTATTTGTCTGTTCGGTGAATATACAAAGACAAACACACACAAAATCATGTGTGTGTACATGTTTTCCATTCATTCAATACATCAATGACTATCATTGCCAATTTTTATTGGATAGTATATCCTGTGTGTGTGTTTGTGTGTACATGAGCATGATGTTGTTGTTGTTGTTGTCATTGATGTTAATGTTGACTGCCACAGTTACAATATCATCATCATCATCAGGCTCATCAGGCAACAACATAACGGTGTGGCGAACCGAAGCCAAATTAAAACAAAAAAAAAATCTAATGCGTCCAATTTAATTTATTATTATAATAGAATGATTGAATTGAATGATGGATAATCTGACGTTATTGTTAATATTATTCATATCATTCATTGTGATCATTTTGATTGTTATATTACTGATCTGGATTATACATGATCTTCATCATATTAAAAAATTTGGTAATAATCATCGTCATCGTCATTTGTTACAGCAGCAACAACAACAACAATCAGTGGATAATAGTTATTCGAAACCGAATCGCATAGTTCAACATCATTATCAACCGATCGAATCGTATGAATTAGGTCAGATGCAAACCTCCAATGAAACTAGTAAAAATCATACGTTCATTTCATATGTGAATGATGATTCGGTTGCTGATCAATTGATCAAAGTTAACAGTGATGACCATCATGGCATAAAGACCGTATCGACCATAGATAAACAAAGTAAGCTTCGAACATTCCTTATGACATTTAATCATCATTATGGTGACTATAATTATGATGGCAATGAAGATGATCATTTGTGTATGAACCATGATTCCACCACATTACGAACGAATCGACCGATACCTGTACAGAATTTTTTTGCCTTTTTTCAATCAGCATCAAAAGATTCTGATCTTGGTTTTAGTCGTGAATTCACTGCACTTGAACAAATATCACATCGTGAGCTATATACAAAGTTGCCATTAGTAGAATGTAGTCAATATTGTGATATGAATGGCAAGAATCGTTTCCAGAATGTTTTACCATGTAAGTTTCCACAATGTTTGATACAATCAATGATTAATGTTATGATTTTTTGTATAGATAAACATACACTAGTCAGACTTAGCGATGGTCACGATGGCTATATGAACGCTAGCTTTATAGCCGGTCATAATGGGCCCAATGAATATATAGCAACATTGGCTCCATGGAATCAGGATTCAATAAGTGATTTCTATCGTCTTGTACTTAAATATCATGTAGCCATCATTGTAAATCTAGTCGAATTCGGTATGTATTTTGGCCGATTAAATCCGATGATTCATAATTACATTTCATAGAAAGTATAGCCTATCTTCCTAAATGGATTAATGATGAACCTAAACGAATACGGCTAACCGATGATCAAAAAATGTTAACTGTAATGCTAGTCAATGAAGAACGGTTCGATCAATACGTCATACGTCACATTAAGCTAATGTTCGAATCAACCGACGATGTACATGAGGCGTATCAATTCCATTTTACCGGATGGAAAGATTTTGCCGTTCCAGAACAGGAACTACCAATTTTGCAATTTATAGAAAAAGTTCGCCAATATTATGAAAGACATTGTTCATCATCATCTTCGGGACAAAAAACACCAATAATTGTACATTGTCGGTAAGTGATATATAACACACACCTATTTGTTTTTCATTATGATCAATTGGATCCATGTTTCGAATGTAGAGCCGGAATAGGGAGGACTGGTACCTACATAGCAATCGATCATTTATGGCAACAATTGACCGAAAAATTTCTACTACCAGAATCACATAGAAAAAAACTATGGCAGCAATCATTACGATGGCATGAACTTCGACACTTACATAACAAACAATTACAATGCCAATTCTCATTATCCAAGACCGATGCCGGTAGCCATACGTTACCAATACGTTCTATTCATCAATGGATGCCTCATAAATTTGGAACTATAGCTCATATATTTCGTTCGACTACGGCCACATTAGGAAGACGATTACATAATCGTAAAACGGTATACGATATGAATGATAGCAATCATACGGATCCTATACAACAGGATCCGGAAGCAGCTCATTTATTATCAAGGGCACCATATATGATTGACATACATGGTCTTGTATACAGGATGCGATCCAATCGACGTGGTATGGTACAAACAGACGTAAGTATTATATTCTATTGATGATGTGACCACAAAACTATGATTTATTCTTGGCCATTAGTCACAATACGCCTACATACACCGATGTGTTTATTATATTCTTCAACATTGGCTTTGTTTACAACTAATCGATTCTCAAGCCATCAGTCAACAGCAAACGGATGAAATCACGAATGAATCAAACAAACAGGACAAAACCATCGAAAATATAGTTAGCATCTGTAATGAGCCTTCTACAAAAAACATTGAATCAGTCTGAATGTGTATTTTTTTGGGGGAAGGGGGTTCAATTATATCCACATATATGATTTGAGGAATCCATTTCCATTTTATGCTTGAATCGGATCTGATGGATTATGATTCGGAAGTAGCCATTTTTTGGCGAAAAAAAAAATGTGATCACAACATGAAACGTGGGCAGTGTTTTTTTCTGTATTTGTATTTATTAATGTTCACAACACATTATCAGCATCAATGATGACGAGAATCGATCGAATTTGATTGATTTCCGCCATCAATATGGTGTTCTAAGAGCATTCAATCACCATCATCATTCTCGTTTTTTTCATTCATTCTTATATTCTTACTTTTGTTGATCAATAAAAACCGATGGGGAGAGAGAGAGAGAAAAAAAAAAATAATTGCCCATCATTTACACACACACACACTTACACTTTTTAAGTGTAAAAGCAGCAAAAAAATGGAATTTGAAAATCGGCTGAAAGATTATAGAATATTCGGAGATTATAGCCACTCTTCTCATCATCATCATCATCAACATCATCGGACATATTCCACACACACACACACATTACATTGACATTTTTTTTGGTCCAGTTATCAAGCTTTATTGGGGAAAACAAACATACAAACAAACAAACAAACACATACACATACACATACAATTATTATATTCCGTTTTGTTATCCACGATGAATCCCACGCAACCAAACACACTAACATCAACAACAACAACAACAACAAGAAGATCTATTCCGATTCATCGGATTAGGCCCCTAAGTCAAATGGCCTACGTGTGTTTTGTGCGTGAATGTGTATCAATTGCAACAACATTCCAAAATAAAAGAATGATTGTTGGTTTTGTCAATGGGCCTTCGATAATTCGAAATGAATCCCACACAAACACATAGGTTGTAAATTGGTGATGTATATATGTGTTTATGTGTGTTTGTTTTGGTTTTGACACTTTGTATTGGACATCGTCGTATATATATTTTTTTTTTGAATCGATTGACATTTTCCATTTGTTAACGGACATGATATTTTTTTCGGTCTGTTCGGGGGTTTCCTCTGGCTTGTTATTGATTATAGTAGTTGTTGTTGTTGTTGTTGTTGTTTTTGTTATTATTAAGAATCGATCCAAATGTATTCCCGTCGGTATATAAAGTCGAATCAAATTTCAAATTGACCCAGTATGATTGAAAATCCGGAATCATATATCGACCAACATCAGACCGTAACTTCGGAATTGATATTTTTTCCTTTCTTGATTTGCAAATCATATCATTGGATATTGTTGGTCGCATTTTTATCATTATAATTGATCAATCAACCTGGCTTTAAAGCGGTTGTCGTTGTCCATAATGAACATGGTTCGACAATGGCTACCTTATTGGGCAATTATGGTTATCCTGTTGGCCACTATCATTGGTCGTATTTCTACTTGGCCTATGACCACAACCCTTACGGAAAATTCTACGCCCAAACCACCTCCACAATCATCGCCGTTAAGCACTGATCTCAGTGACATTTCGACGAATTCAAATCATACATCATCGATGGTCATGAATGGTGGTCATCGTCATCGTCGATCATCCGGCCAACGATTATGCGGCAAAGTATTAGTACAGGCCATGCAATTAGTCTGCAATGGTCAATATAATGGCCCGTCCATTTCTTCATCATCGATGCTTGCCGCTGTCGCTGCTCAACCATCATCATCGGTATCCGCCGGTAACAAAATGTTACGACAGGTACGTCGAATGGTATTAACCATACATCCACAACAACAATCACCATTACCGCAATCAGCCTCAACACCATCTCCACAGCCATCTTTACGGGAATTGGCCAATCGATTGAACATATCGCTTGCTCGTGTCTATTATGAGAACAACAAACATGGTGGTTATTATGCCAGCTCGACAACTTCGTCAGCAATTGACCATCAGGATGATCATGAAACCTCAATTCAAACAGCCTATGTACCGGATGAACATAGTCATAGAGTACGTGTTCGTCGTGGAATCGTCGACGAATGCTGTTACAGTTCCTGTTCGTTTCAAGATATGCGACAATATTGTGCAGTGAGCACCAGTAACAATGATGATCAACGATTTAAATCAATTACCACAAAATCTACTAGCTATCACAACCAATAATGATGATGACCCATATCCCGGTGATCGATATATGATATTATATGTCACGTGCAAGCCCTGTACTATTTCTAATCCGAACCAAACCAAACCAAATCAATTACACACAATCATCACAAAATGATCGATATTTGATAATTAAAAAAAAGCTTTGACTTTTTGTTGTGTTCAATTCAATCATTTGAATAGAATCATTATTGAATGAATGATCAAGAAAAAAAAGGAAATATAAAAAAGGTGTTATCTATAACGTTCTATTCTGGAACTTTAATTGAATCGTATACGGCATACATCGTCATTGTTTCTATTGGCAATGGCAATTATTTTGTCGAATAGTTCGCTAGCCGAATTACAATTGTCGCCTAATTTTTCATAGTTTGTTAATAATTGAATTACGTGGTCAGCAGCAGTTGTTGATGATTCATCAAACAATGGTCTGTCGTCTGTTGATGATCGTAATATTTTACCAATTATGTACTGTATCCAAAGTACATTGGTTCGTGGATGATATTGTTTCCAATGTTGATCATCATTACCGGTAACCAATTGATTCATTCGTTCATATGTACGATCAAGTTCACTGTTGCTGGCGCTAAGATTATCACTTGTAAACAAATAGGACAAGTGTTTATAGTGAACATTTTGTCCTGAATTAAGCGGAGGAAGGAATATATTAGAATATTTTTTCATATATGATATATGACGACATTTTCGACTGACCTATTCGTATTCGAGAAAAAGTAGTGTCGATTATCTTCACCATACAGCCATATGTTAGTAATGAAAGCGTACGACTTCCTATCATATAATGGACCATTGTTTTGTTTGTTGTTTGCACAAGAACATTACCGCCGTGAAGGTCACGATGTTCAAATTGAAACACTGTTTCGGCTATCATTAGGCCAATAATCAATTGTTTCACTATAGATAAACAGGCTAATGGTTTCAACTGTTCCAAACATTCGGTGATTGGCAATCCACAATCTTCCATCACTAACATCATATATTCTTGCGGTATTTGATTAGACAAATTATATTCATCCGACATGTTGCCAACAAATGGCCATCCGTCATCATCATCATCATCATCATCGTCGTCGTCATCGTTGTTGTTATTCGTTTGAACATTGAAGCATGGACCTAATGGGCCATGAAGTAACGTTGATAGAAACAATCGAGGAAATGTAGGACACATGTAGAGTCGACCATCACTATGTTGATATCGACTATTCAACCGGGACAATGTACGCTGTATGATCCATTCATTGTGGACATCATTATATGAACTAATTCGGTTCAGAATGGTCAAACGTTGCAATAATTCTCCGGACAACAATGGTATCATTTTTAATATGACCGGATCGATCATAGAACTTTTTTGATTTTTAAGTTTTATCATTGTGTTTGGCTCCAAAAGACGATATACGTGTGCATAGGAACCGGAATCTATATGTTTAATAGCTTCGTTTATACGATGATTATCATGAAACACATGTCATAATGTGGAACAGAATCCTGTTCTAATTGATCAAGTAATAAACGTCGATATTGATCGTCAATAGTGAAACGATCGAAAACTTGTCCAAAGAATGATATAACATGATCATCTGATTGTTTTGTTTTGGTTGCCATTTGGTTGTCTTTTTTACAATCTATTGGAATGAACAATTGCTAATGGTAGAAATAATAAACTTTGATAAATTCGAAAACTGCACTTTCAGATTGAAATTTTTTTAATAAAATCATTTTTATTGATGAATTTTGAACAAATTATATTTATATTTATAACAACAATTAAGTTTTAATATTCGAATGACATTTATTCTGAATGGAAAAATTCCACTGGTCGTACAATGGAGCGTTCACACAGGACATGGTTGATTTGGTTGGTTCTATGTTCATATGCGAATGCCATTACATTCTACAAGGTATGTAGAATATTCATTTTTTATCATTTCTGATTGCCAAAGGACAAATTCATCATCATTGATATAATTAGTCAAATTGTTCGGACATTAGTTCGGATCCATCTACAAACATAATATTAATCGGTATACATCGTAATCATTTGACCATTATTGATCGTCGATTCTGGGTGTTTGAAATCGAACGAACACTATTCATTGGTTATGATTTTCGTATTTTATTCGGTAAAATGTATACAAAAATGCCCATTCAAAAACTATGGCCACATGCATATCGTGTTCGTGAAGATGAAAATCGTTTCGAAAAACTTCGACATCATGTTCGTTTTGGTTGGATTTGGTCGGAATACAATCTGACATTTGCATATCAAACTAAACGGAATGATGAAAAATTACGTTTCTTTAGCTACGATTTAGCCTCTGATCGTTGGCATTGGAATGTGACCGTAAAACAATCTTTGGCAACAACAAAAGTGAATAAAGACCTGGTGTTCATATCGAACATGTTACCGAATCGACAACGAATGTGGCTAATACGTTATCGTCGTCATGATAGACAAATTCTGATGGCCCGTTATGATAGCCTAAAACAATGGTATTTTTTGTGTTCGGCTGATCTTGTCGATGATGGCCGTAGTATAGACAATGTTACAATTGGCAATAATTCATGTACACCAGAATCAATAGCACCAATGGCTTTAGATGATCAGCCAATAATCAAAGCTTTTCAAACACATACTCGATTCTTTTTCATTACCAATCGTTATGTTTACTATGTATCATCATCGTTGGTACGAAGTAAATCTTTGCTTTTGGGCATACGATTTCAGATGCAACGTAAAGAAATTGAAAAACTGTTTATATGTGAACCATCCATATTGCAATTTATACAATATAATCGTATGTATATCATTAATATTTTCATTGTTCATGTTTGTATAAAAAAAACTAAGCTGATGAAAAATTTTTTTTCACATCACACAAACACAACAGCCAAATCTGTGTTTATATTGATGATGTTCACTTTAATAGGTATCGCTGCCATTATATATGGTATCTACTTGTCCAGTCTATCTGGTCAACGTAGCATTCGTAATTTAGTGATGAAAAGTAAAAAATAAAAATTATTTTCTTCAACCTTTGACCTGTGGATGTTGTTTTAGTTGTTGTTGTTGATGATGATACGGTTGAACATGATGATGTTGAACTGATGATAAAGCAACAGGCTGTGCAGAATTCATGGATGTAATTGTGGTTGGATGCTGTTGCTGCTGCTGCTGTTGCTGTAATTGTTGTTTACGTTTGATGTGATCCAACATGACAAACAATCGGGTCTGTTTTTCACGTAATCGTGTCATAACATCACGTACATGACGCTCAAGACCATCCCATGGTTCATGACAACGGCTATACAATGTTTCAATACGAGTAATGTATCGTTCACTTTCATCTAAATAATAGCGTATAATATCTTTATCATGAAATTGTTGCGATGATTGTGGATTATCATCGGTTGTTGTTGTCGTTGTCGTCGTAGGAAATTTAACAAATATTTCAGCCAATACCAGCATATGTCTTAATTCTTGTTGCGATTTTCGCAATTCAATTTTTGCATGTTCGGATGACATGATTTTTTTTTCTATTATTAATATGTTATCGAATCAACGTATCAGGTACTTGAGATCATCATAAAATATAACAAAGGGTCCCGATCAAAATATTGCTCAATCAATTTTTAGAGTTTGCGCGCTGAAATCATCATCATCATTTGATCCATCGGAAAAAATTACAACGAGTCTCGGGATGTCCTTCTGGCTTCAACGATGGTTTTGAACATTGATAAAATTCTCGGCCATAATTTATGCCTGTTTTTCGAACTTTACGTCGTACGCAAGGTAAACCATGACCAGTACATAAGGGAATATGCTCTATTTTTGATTTAGCATCCAATAATTGGCGCCATTTTTCCGATTGATTTGGCATAGCTATGGTTACTGTTGTTGCTTCATCATTGGCTATCGTTTGTGTTGTCATCAGTGGTTGTTGCTGAGGTCTAATCTGCTTAACACCCGTAAGGAAAGAGGATATCTTTGTCTGTTGTAGTTGTTGTTGTTGTTGTTGCTTTTCACATTTAAGTTTTTAATGATAATTTGATCACTGCTCGATGATCCAAATTGATCATTTTGATTTTGATTTATGTTTGGCTTAGTGGTGGTGAGAAAATGACGTATTGATCCACGTTGTTTGATTGGATCGAATTCAGGCCACTGTTTAGTGCAATGAACTGAATAATATTGATGATCAGGACCAATAAACCGAATTTGATCATCAAATTGGGCCATCACAGGACAATGATCAGAACCGACAACACTGGTTAAATGGTAACAATGACGCATGTATGGGCAGAGTCGACGATCTACTAGAATATAATCGATTCGAGATCCATAATTAGTATAGCGACCACCAATCTGTGAGTTCCAACAGGTGAAAGCTCCTGTTACATCACCATTCATATGACGAAATGCATCCACTAATCGACCATCGTCGAGTAATTCTTGCAACCAGATACGGGAATTTGATCCTAAATAGCCAAATTCGGCATCATTGTACACATCGATTGGTTGATGGGCAGTATTAAGATCACCGACTACGATCACATGATTGCGACTATTGTTGTCTTCAAATAACGCTTTAATTCGTCGTTCGACTAGATGATAGAATTTGAGCTGAAATAATTCACGATCTGGTCGGCTTGAATCATTACGTGGACAGTATAGATTGAATAAGTATAACCATTCGCCTCCATGACAATGACTAGCATCTGTTTCGCCTATTTGGATGGCATGTTTAGTGACAATACAACGACCTTCTCGATCCACTTGTCTCCAGTTAACGTAATCACTATCGGCATTCCTTTTAAATTTTCTGGACCATCGCTTTTCAAATAAAGAATCCTCTTCCAAATGATCGAATAAATCTTTGGCGAATATTTCGAATACATCATTGACAAGTGTAACTTCAGCTGCCCAAGGTCGACAATTGTTATTTTCACGGACATATGTTGCCACTCCAGAATAGCCTGATTGATGAGACAGGTGATTGGCTTCGGATGACGGAAATGAAAAATATGATGTATAACCAGAAACAAAAGCCATCCATTCAGTTAACGATGAACCTGATTATGAAAATAAATTCTGATTTAGTTTATTCAACAAACCATAACCATTGTACGTACGAGATAATTTAGTCTCCTGAAGGCAAACCATGTCTGCCTGACCATCAAATTTTTCAAATATTGCAGGTCTAAATTGTTGAGGGCCACCAAACGATCGAAGTCCATTGATATTCCATGTAATAATTTTGAAACCCATCATGGATCGGCGGCAAATTAATTGAAAACAACAAAAACATCACATGAATCAACATTCGGCAACACGTCATTTATGATTGATCTTGATTTAAAAAATTGAAAAATACAAAAAGAGCATGGTGTTCACACATTGATGGCAATTGAATGACTTAATTAATTATGGATGCATTCAATAAGAGTGGCAATTATCATCGATCGATGTCGTCGATGCCATCGCATCATATCATGGATATGATACAAGTCCTCAATGTATGAATATTTTGTCTATGTGTGTGTATTAATTTCATATTTGTTTCATTCATTCACTTGAAACAAACTTGACCTTTGTGTACATTAATTCATGAATTGATTGATCATTGTCGAATGCTAAAATTGTAACGATTTTTTGTTGTCACTATCTTTTTTTTTGGGGAGGGAGGAGGAAGGGGAGGCCATCGATTACCTTGATAATAAATTGCGTAAACAAAAAAATTTTTTTTTTTTACATATCTGGCTGAACGATGGTAAACTTTGTTGGATAAATAAATACAATTGTTTAGAAAGGCTAAATTTGGGGCCTTTTGCAAATAATCATCAAAAATAATAATGTGATCATTCGTGTATATATCATTGAAGATGATTGAAATGTTCAATCCGATTGAATGATTACATTTGTCTATTTATTTATTCAATTTTTGTTTGTTTGTTTGTTTTGTTTTGTTTTTATTTGATATAAAACCATTTGCTTTTATATGGGTTATCATTTTTTTATCATCGTCCATCCATCCATAATAATAATTGGCTATTGATTTCATTACACTGTAGTGTATCTAATCTCATTATAAATGATCGGAATTGATTGAGATTATTATTTCGTTCAACTTCTGTGTTTGCATGGCGAATTGATTTATTGATTGATTGATTGAATTGAATTGAACATTTAGATATATAGACATGGGAACCTTGACATTGTATATATTTATATTTGTCCAGATAAATCGGTAGTCACATTCGAATAGCTCAAGATCAAATCTCATACATTGCCTATAGACATGTTTTGTCCACACACACACACACACACACAGCTTGACACATCATGGATATCAAAAATGCAGCTTGACGATTTGATCGCTATGATGATGATGATGATGATGGCACCGATGATTGCGTAACTTTTCTCCATATGCCCTTATCCAGTACATTTTAAAATTACACACACACACACACAAGTGATGATAATGTCTTAAATCACTAATTTGAGATGACCACACACACACACACAACATTCATGTGGTTGATCTCTGTATTAGTGCCGTCCGTTAGACTCACATACACCGCCACCACCACGTACAAAATAGAAAGAAAAATCGATGCTAAAAATGAGATACATTTGGATGTATGGAATGGACACTGGGCTTCATCGTTTTTTTTTCGTATATAAATACGGCAGGCATTTTTTTGAAATATTGGCCATCCTGATCAAATTCGAAACGACAGCGCGAAGCCATAAACACATTGATATATAATAATTAAATTTAAAATCAATCGATCATGAAGGTAAGTGTTACTAATTGCAAAAAAAAAAAATTTATTTCACTGATAATGGTGTGTAAAAAATAGACCAAACAATTGATATGTATGCTGGTCATCACCGGTTTATTGGTCAGTATATTTCTAGTACCAACAGCCGATGCTGATAAGATGTTATTAAAAGCATTAAAGCTGAAAAAATTATTTCTACTCAAATGGCTATTACTCAAAGATAAATTACCTGAATTTGAATTGGTATTCAAAAAGAAACCGACCATTTGTCTTGATTGTTATCATTATGTTAATGAACCTAAACATCATTATTATCCACCACCGCCATCATATCCAAGATATTAATCAAAAAAAAAAAAACAACCAACCAACCAATAACCAATAAAGAAAAAAAAATACAATACAACAAATCAATAAATCAATAATACTCAATTGTTCCAATGTGCACATATCAATTAATCATTGTATCATAGAATACCATCAACATTTATTCATATGTTTCAAATCCTAAAATACCCAATCAATAATGTTGCAATGTTTGACCATGACATCATCAATCATTATTGTCCATATAGCCATTTTGTCTTGTCATTACCGAATTTAATATATAAAAAAAATCAAATGTGCTATGTGTATGAATAAAATTAAGTTATCTACAAATTTTCATTTCTGTTATTGTTGATTTAAAAAATGAAAATGAAAATCCAATTATACAATCAACGGCAATAATGAATGGATGGCCGGCCTTTTGTATCATCATAAACAACGACAAAGACAATAATGGCCATTATGTTGAACATAATTAATCTTTCTGATGATTAACAAGATGTAAATGACGATGATGATGATGATGATGATGACGATGATAATGAAATTGATGTTAATGATGACCTCATTGTTAAACTCTCATTATATTTGCATTTTGATTGAGTCACAAGTATTATGATGCAATATATGTAAAACACACGCACACACACACCTTTCAAGATGTTCTTAGGTTTGACCATATGGTTCGAAAAAAAAAATTAATAAACAGCAATGACTACAGAACATTATTAAATGATTTCCAATAAGTTCAGGGCTGATGCCGCCAAAACCATTTATGCTAAACATAGACATTAAATTTACATTTTTTTCAATTTTAATTTCAATATAATAGTGACATGATGAAAGAAAAAACGAATTGGATGGCATACAAACACATATACTCATCAAACATTTAGTTATATTTCAATTGTTTGAATTGATTATTTCCATTGTCAAGTACACGACTTGGATCCTGTAAAATACGTCGTGCTTCAGCATGTGGTACACGAGCACTGGCTTGTACGGTCGATGTTTCCGAATATCGATTTCCATTTGCCGATGTCTATAGAGAATTTTTTGTGACAAGAAAAAAAAAATAAAAATTCTCATAAATAATGGGTTGTTAACTATCATCATCATCATCAACATTAACTTACGTATTGTCGTTCTCGTTCAAGAGTTACATCAACACGTGTTGTTCGTGGTTGATAATTACGACGACCACCACCACCACCACCGCCACCACTTCGGTAATTGTTAGAGCTCATTTTTTTAATCAATAATAATCAACAAACAATCGAAAACAAAATCGAATCGAATGAAAGTATTAAGACAAGTGACGCTTTTTATAGCAAAAAAAAATGAAAATCGACTCAATCGATGATTGATTTCTAAACTCAGAAACTAAAAAAAAACTGATACGTCATCATTAGAAGCACTTGTTCCATGAGACTTACATATAGGATGTGACAATAATTAAATTATGAAAAAAAAAATTTTTCCTAAAAAACATGCATTTATTTCATTTCAATTTCAAATTTTTTTTAATTGTAAAATTTTTTCTAGTTAAGCTTTTTTCTGGTCACTTTCAGTGGCAAACATTTGTGTGGCCATTTGTTTGAGATCTATTTTTCTTATTTTACCTGTTGGTGTACGTGGAAAATCATCAATAAAATGAATATGTTTTGGCACTTTGAAATGACTCATCTGAATAAACGAAAAAAAAAAATTATAAACGTAGATTTTATTGTATAATCAACCAGCAAGATACAAACTTTATTACGAAGATGATCCTTGAGCGATTTTTCTGTCCATTCATTTGTTTTGCCTGAACGCAATTTGATAAAGGCAACCATTTCTTCACCAAGTCGAGTATCGGCAATTCCTACCACCTTTAATATAAAAAATTAGCAGATTAACAAAACGAAAATCAGCATTGAAAAAAAACTAAAATTGGACATTCACATGGACATCTTCTATGGATTCACCAGTCATTTGCATGATCAATTCTTCAACTTCTTTTGGGTATATATTTTCACCACCGCGAATAATCATCTCTTTGATACGACCACTAATGTGTAGATATCCTTGTTGATCCATCCATCCGACATCGCCAGTATGATACCAGAAATTATCATCTATAACCTCATCCGTTTTGTCTGGTTGGTTCATGTAACCTGGAAATGTGCCATGTGAACGAACAAGAACTTCGCCACGTTCACCTCGTCGTACAGTACGATTGGATTTAATATCGGTCACTTTAACTTCGACATAAGGTATGGGCAATCCTACTGATTCAAATTTATGTGCTTCGCTATCATTGATTCTAGTACACGTAGCTACAGGTCCTATTTCGGTCGAACCATAAGGAATCTATGGGCATTACATTTATTGAAGTTGATTGACTATGCTTAAATGACTCACTAGAATATTTTGTAATGAAGGTATTGTCTGTCGAATTTTGTGCAGTAAAACCGATGGACATGGTGCACCAGACATAACGCCACGTTTCAATGTAGTCAGATTGTATTGATGCAATGGTCGTTGTAATAAATCGGACCACATGGTCGGTGTTCCGTAAAGATAATCACAACCATATTTTTCAATCGATTGAATGGTAGTATCCGCATTAAATATGGGTCCTGGAAGGACTAATGTACCATGCATGAAAACTGAAGCAACTGTACCGACTACACATCCAAATGCATGATACAATGGATTCGGAATGCATACTGTTGGTGGTTCATTCAAATCTTCGAACAAGATGGGCGCGATAAATTGTCCATTCTGTATGATGTTAAAATGAGTGAGCATTGATCCTTTTGGAAGGCCAGTTGTACCCGATGTGAATTGTACATTGATTACATCATCAAATTGTGTGTCATTATTTTCATCAGATTTATGAGTGTCCTTTTCTGGAAACGATGATTGCATCAATTGTGAAAAACGACAAACATTCAATGGAACAGTCTCTCCATCGGTTTGATCGATGACAATCAAATTCTTTAATTGTGGTAATCTAGTAAAAAATTTATTGATTACTAATAATAACTGAATAATGATAATCATAGTTACTCAACTGTTCGGAATGAACACGAGCTGAACCATGTTGAGCCGAGGCAAAAATACCCGGTGCAATATTTTCCATTACTTTGCCATAATCAGAATATCGAAATTGTTGATTCATGATCATTGTTTCAATACCTATCAAACGGAATACATTAAGCAATTCTCGTTCTTTATAAGCAGGATTGATTGCCACCATTATGGCTCCCAATTTCGCCGTGGCGAATTGAATGAGTAACCATTCATAACAATTGACAGCCCATAATCCAACAACAGAACCACGACGACAGCCCAACGAACGTAATGCCTTGGCCAAACGATCTACCTGTATAATCAATCATCATTATTGGTATGTATGTATATGCAATTAACTAAACTTACATCAGCATCGAATTGACTATACGTTTTACTTATATTTTGATGAGCTACGATGAAACCAATTCGATCTGGATCGATGGCCACTGATCTTTTCAATAATTCACCAATTGTTAATGGGCTGTATGTGGCAATCGGTGTTGGTGGACAACCATGTACATAGCTAAGATTTGAATCATTTAGATCCTGAACCATTGAAGCGATAAATCGACATGATCGTAGCCCGAATGTATTAATTCGAGTATTGAATCGATTGGTCAACACACCGAACAAATAACAATGGCCATGATTGGCCGCACTAGTTATGAATTTCAACATGACATATAGACAGTAATGAAAAGCGACTGCCAGGCACTTCTTTTTGTATACAAATCGATTTTATTTGACTGATAAAGTAATCGCTAATCACCCAAATCATCGTTGGTAATCAAATACATGTTGATAGCAAGATATACTCTGTTATAATGAGCTATGTTCAAAGTTCTTCATATTCATCAATAAATCATTTTTATGATCAGAAGTGTAATAGTATCTTCTAAATACAGGCTCAAGATTTCTGAAATAATGGCAATCATAATGTTCATGGCAAATGATTTTGTTGGCCCACAAAATGCATGTATTGGTCTGGCACAATCACTTAGTCAACGCGGTCATCGAGTGTATTTTTGTTTGCGGCGGGAATTTTTTGCCCGATTTATTTCCAATGGTTTTGATGAACAAAATCTGCTGGAATTGACTGGTTCAACTGCCAAGAAAAAGGAAAGTCTCCGATTTCTAGTTGAAAAAATTCGTGAATTTGGTTTTGCAACTGGCATTTCTCCTTTAGAAAAGGTACGACAGATCAAACGGGTCAATTTGGTTAAATCAACATTCGAAGATCCACTTGGACAATTTGATGGACAACTCAGAGATTACCTACAACGAATCAATCCGGATTTGATCGTCTATGATGGTGAGGTGATTCCGCCAGCCATTCTTTATTGGCCAAACTGCCCCTGGATCTATCTCTTCTGTAGTAATCCAATCGGTTTATTCGACTCGGATCTATTGCCACCATTTTTGTCCGATTTCAATACAATTGATATCGATAATGAACCACCGTCATGTTGGCAAGAATTTCGTTCAGTACTAGATGAATGTTATTACAATCTAGTACGCCAAACTCAATCCAGATTATGTCGACAATTGTCATATCCGGATCCCAATGATTTTGAATGGATGAAAAAAAATCGATTTTTTATTCGTTCACCACATCTGAATCTCTATCAATATCCACAGGAATTAGATTATAATGATCGTATCTATATTCCAAATGATCTTTATTGTCGAGTGGATTCATTCTCTCGTCATGAATATCTCGATACGAATCGAAAACAAGAATTGCTTGAGCAGATAAAACATCGTAATGGATCAGGAAAATTAATCTATCTTTCATTGGGTACAATGGGCGCCTGTAATCTAGAACTAATGGCTCGTTTGATCCGAATTCTATCCATGACAGAACATACGTACATCTTGTCGACAGGACCAGCTAATGGTGAATTGGAACTTGGCGCCAACATGTGGGCACAATCGTATCTACCACAGATCTGGATATTTGCTAATCTCAATGTTGATTTAGCCATCATACACGGTGGTAATAATTCGCTTTGCGAAGCTTTCTCCTACGGTATACCTTGTCTGGTCATGCCATTATTCTATGATCAATTTCTCAATGCCAGACGAGTACAGGAAAAACAGTTGGGTGCCCGAATCGATACATTTAATTTTGAAGATGTTGAACTTGTAAACTGCATAAATACATTGCTCGATGATGATCAATTAAAGCAACGAGTTCAAAGTATTGGCCAAAGGATCCGAAAAGAGGATAGCAAATTAGCTTGCTGCAAACGTCTAGAAGAACTAATTATCCGATTTAAAAAAGAAAAATCATTTGCTATATAACTTGCTGATCGAATCGATCGATTGATTGATTTGAAAATTGTTTTCAAATAAATGTACATTTGCATTCACACGTACAATCTTTTTTTTTAATATTAATAAATGATTGGTTTCCTATCAATGATTTTACTTATTGATAGTTCAGCCAGACAATGTTGAGTGCAATAACAATCATTCAATGGCAAATTCGAAATAGAATTCATATAAAAAATACATTCAGCAGCGAACGTTAGTAAACATACAAACATCAAACATAGATATAGTAGAAAGAAGATAGTCAAATGTTTCAAACTCAATGGTTGAGTAAGATTATCATTTTTGATGGACAATTGGCTTGAGAGTGTTTCATCTGATTCCCCATTTTCAGGGTCTTCATTTGCATTCGAAACTGAATCGACAATTACTTGGTTGATGGATTTGTTTTGTCGAAATTCGCGTTCAAGCCATAGTTGATATAAACCGGCATTAAATAAGCGAGAATTGATCTCATTAAATTGAGTGACCAATGGAAATGATGGTCGTAGCAACACTACATTTAACGTTTTCATTAATGAAGAAGAATATCCGGGTTTAGGAAGATATAGTCGATCTCTATCGAATACCATTTGCAGGTGTTTAAGCATATAGTACTGTTGTATAAACGCATATCTGATGCCACCATTTTCGATGCTTGAATTTAATACCATTTCTGCTGCCCATAGTTGGTATTGAACAACTTGTAAATGTTTTTGGAGAATTAGGGCCAATGGCCGTTGGCTAGTTTGAATTTCGGTCATGGAAGCCGTGCCATTTTCAACCAATACAACGAATGATCCTCGATTGCATTGCTGGGCCAATTTATATATCGTATCAATGGTGTCGATATGAGGCACAGTAATAACAGAAAATAAGCAGCCTGCATACGAACTAGTTAAGACTATCACAATAAGCATCCAAAGAGAGGATACAAATAATTTATCGCTTGTTACTCGTGGATCTTTGAACCAAGAATGAACTGGCTGACGAAATAAAAGCTGTAAGTTTATCCATAATAAACTGGATCCGTGATGTCTTCTCTTAAATCGTCTGTCGAAACGGCCGAATAAAAAGAATAGAACAAGCGAACCGAAAACGCCCATCCAAATGAAATGATCGAATGGTTTGAACAGTTTATCAGGATCCGGTGTATGATAGTGCGATACTGCCGTCATGATAGATGTCTGTTCCACTAGATATGGATAAAGATATCCAACTGATTGAGCTCTTTCATAATTCAATGTCCAACCGCCGATACCTATGTCAATTGTCTACGATATGAGGAAATACTGGTCAATGTTTTCTACAGTCTTTCTGATTGGTAACTAACCTCATTATCAGCCAAATTCAGCTGCACTGATGGATCCATTGTACTGCGATTAAAATCATCGATAAGCAATTCATATTGGTTAAACATGTAGACCAAGTCATAGGTAAAGTTGTATTTATGACTTAATTCATTGACCAGATGATAATCAGCTCCACCGCGAACCACCCATATATCATTTCGTTTATCTTCGAGATGAGGCCGTACAAATGGTGGATGCTAAATGTTATGAAATACATTAAAGCAAAAAAATAATCTATTTTGATACAGGATTATACTTTACATTCGTGTAGCCAACTAGGAAATGTTGCATGATGTTGTTCAAATGACAAGTCTATTTGTCAACTGCCACTTTGGTCTTAATGTACATTCTATAGTTTGCTTTTCGATTTCATTCTAGATGGATCGATCCGTGATTATTATCGATTGGCCAATCAAATCAATAATGACAGATTGAAGTAAATTATTAGTGCCGATAAACCATAGGAATTCAACAATTGCAACCAGTGTGGCTATGGCCAGAGCCATTAAATACAAATGGAAACAGACCATTAACTGCGATAATGTTAGACTACGAAAACTGTCACTAACATTATCATTATTTTGATCAAATTCCAGATCATTTTGACTGCTATCGTCATCATCTCGATAAGGTGACTGTTTAAATTATTATTCGAAGTTTTAGAAAGGCTATACATTTTGGCATTGCGGAATTCATTATCAAGCCATAATTGGTAAATGCCTGAACTAAATAAATGAATGGTAACTCGATTGAATTGTCGTACGTACGGAAACTGTAATTTGAGTAGAAAACACGTGAGACTCGTATGAACGGATGCTTTTTCACGAGCTTTGGCCACATGTAATCGTTCGATACCGCTAAAACTTTGCTGGATCATTTTCAACATTGTATAATACTGTAAAAAGGCATAGGTTCTACCTTTTCTGTCTTTTGGCTCATTAAGTATAAGGCTAATGGCATCATTCTGATGACCAACAACTCGATGATGAGTAACTATTGGAGCAAAAATCGGTTTGCCAGCCATCATCTTCAATGGATAAAGTTATTAAAAATGGGCAAATATATGTTATTTGACCACATACCTGAACAATTTTCATTGTAGCCGTATTGTTTTCCGTCAATACGACCATATTTCCTTGCTTGCAATATCGCGACAATCGTCTTAATGAATTAATGCGATGATCATGCGGTATGCTTATCATTGACAGGAGACATCCTGCATAAAAGGTGGAAAGTATGAATGTGGCCAATATCCATGCTATAATTATGGGCCGTAATTCATGTTTTAAACGATTAAGGACATTTTGTTTGAGCAGAATATATAACCATATTAAATAGGAATCCTGAATCGAATATGAACCCTTTGGATTTAAATGTGATACAATTAGAGTCGATAAAGGCAAGATGATTAAAGAAAACAAAATAGCCATCCAAATGTAGAAATCGAATGGATCAAGTAATTGATCAGCCTGGTATTCAGGATTTTTAGGTTCTCGTGTCATAATTGATGTTTGTTCAATAAAATATGGATAGAGATTATCGCAAATTTTTGAACTTTCATAGGTTAAATGAAAACCTCCGATTATAATGTCCACAAGACTATGATTGGATATCATCCATTCATGCCATTTGTCTGTTAGATTTATCAATCGAAAGGTAAAATTTAATCGCCGACTTAATTCAATTAAAAGATACAGATCAGCACCTTTTGTAGTGGAGCCATATTCGTTAAGTCCAATATATGGAGGATACTGTTTGGAAAAAAAGTAAAATCACAATATCGAATCAGCTAACACAAGTTTTCAGAGAAACATTACATTCGTATATCCGACAATAAATTCCATGTTGGCCAGATTGTCCATACTCTACTGGATATTGTCTTTAAATGTTTCTGTCATTAAAAACGCACTTGTCGGTGGCATACAAAAGTCAAAAATGGAACAAGTCACAAGATCTAACAACAAATCGGAAGCATTGATCGATTTGATTGATTCGTCAATCAATGTTTTGTTTTGTAATAATTCTTTTCTATCAATATAGAATTGATTGTCAACAATTTGTCAACATATTTACTATATTTATTAATATATGAGTCACCAGTCTCTTCGTTAGTGTTTTACATTTTACTTTACAATAGACTCGAATTATGTGAATGATATCGAGTATAGGGATAGGATGTTAAAAAGTTTGGGTACTAGCAAAATTAGATTTTAATAAATATAAATATTACAATTGTCAATTGTATAGCCGATTCGAAAAGTTTGATTCATAATGTCAAGCCTAAGAATCCATTGTTATCCATCCAAAACATTCGAAATCATAAAATTGATGTTCAAATATACAGTATTGTTTGTTGTGTCGTTTTTTCCGATTTAAAGACTGAATGGATTTAATTTATGCATTATGATGAAAATCAATGGCAAATAATCATCTTTTAGTTTAATATGAATGATCTAATCGATAAAGTATTGATTTATTAATTAATTGTTTTTTGAAACAAAGTAGTAATTTGCTAATTTTTTTTCCATTACTAATTAGAATGTTTACAAATTTTCATTCAACAAATTCAATTCAATCTACTAATAATAATAACTTTCAGAATCCTGATTTAATTACTGAATACTTTGCTGCTGTTGTTTCAAGTGTTGAAAAAATCAAGAATAACAGAATATGGCTTCACATATTCATTCTATAATATATAGCAATAAATAATATCGTTGTCTAGCAGCAACAATATTGGTATAAAATAAAAATGAAGAATAATGCAGCCGACACTAGAATCATAGGAGAAGAATGAACCGTAAGTATATATCAAACGCCACACCAAAAAATACATTATGCTTCAAACTGATGCCAATAACAACAGCCAAGTGATGATGATGTTAGCATCCTAACATCCAAAATGAGCAAACCATTCATGTTGACATTGTCTTTTATTGACCAGCGAGAGAGAGAGAGGCGTTACCGTGACCATCATCACCATCATCATCGATTCATACAGAATGATTATCATCATCATCATCTAAATTTGTGATTGATAAACTCTTCACAATTTGAAACATGAAAATATTTAATATATAAACAACTCAATTTTTGTTTATGAAATAACAATCTAACTGTGGTTATAGTTAGTTGTCTTGTAATGCGGGTGTAACCACCATCATCGATTTGAATAGCATCGAATGAATAAATTGTAAACATTCTCAACAACCACCATTAAAGTGACCGACAAACATTCTTTGAAGATCTTTCACACATCTTTTCTCCTCTCACAGTATGTTGTGGAAAATCTATACGAAATTCCAGGGTCATCGATCATACAGTGTGAACAAGGTTACCTACAAAACTCTTTTCTGGTGACAAGCGGTTTCAACCACCTCATATATATACAAGCTACAGTCTTATAACTGGATTTTTATATGGTGACATATACGTTATACACACACACACACACACACACAAAGATAAGCAAGGTAAATCGGCCAACGAGATATGCTTGGCCACTATATGTGTTCAATGATGTGTGTTATGATGATAGACACGGTGGCAGATGTTGTTTGTGTGTTCCAAACTTAACTCAACTCAAAACACTTCACTCAAGCCATGAACCATTGTTTATATGTTTATATTGTTGTGTTGTTTCCTCAGTTGTTGCTGTTGTTGGATTGAAAAAATCAAATTATCAAACAACAGATATCTAAAATCTTTTAAGATTCTTTTACTTCTATTCTCACTTTTGTCATTATTGCAATCATTTATCTACACATGTAATGTTATAATGTTTAATAATATATGTTGATTGATTGCATGAATAATGTAGATGTTGGATTTTACGTGAAACATGCCTGATTCATTCTTGATTAATCAACTCATCAACAGTTATGTTCAACAGTTGTGATTGAAGATTACCAGGTAATAATTTTACCTATTCAACATAAAGTGCTAGTCAATAACAATGTCCCAATCAATGTTTGGTAAACCGGCCGCAACCACAAACAGTAACAGCTCATCAACACAAGCACAATCATTGGTTGGTACTAAATCACCACAATCATCTCGAATGCGTAATTTTCTCAAACTAAATGGCCCGTCCAATAATAGTAACGATGTTCAACAAAAATCAAACGGTCATATTGAATCAGGATCAAGTCCACAACGTATTAATCCATCATCGCCATTAATCGGTCGAAACTATCCACATCAACGGGTATCGAAATCACCGTCAGTTGAATCAACAAAATCATCATCACCATCAACTAATCGATGTCATGTGATTAATCTGAATCCTGTGAATTCTAATCACTCGAAGCAAAATTCCTTCGATCATCCATGTTCTTCACCCAATTTGAATGCAAAGTCTAAGCCTCATAGACATTCGTTTCGTTGTACATCGACTACGACTATAACCAGTAACACTGGTTCTAATCAATTAAGTCAATCACAACATACTTATGATAATGTGGCCTCGTTGTCCAGATTAGATCAACAGCAACCAATGGAATCACCTCGATTTGTTCGAAAGAATTTTTTTCGGAATTCTACCACCACCACCACTTCTACTGCTATAGATCCTGTTCAATCAACGTACGGACAGATTGCGACGAAATCAAATTCACCACGGTGGCAACAACAACAAAACAATGATCAAACTACAATGGCCGATGATGATAGTAATGAACCATTCGAATGGATTGAAATATTTGAACCTAAATCCCGTACGAAAATGTTTGCCAATCTTACCACGTGAGTATCAGTATTTGGAAGTGCCTTCAATGTTACTAATCAGAGTTTCATTTGATGATATACTACAGCGGTGAATGTAGTTGGTTCGAACCAAAAGGGGTGCCCATTCTTCGTCAATCCAATCCTAAAATCACTCAATGGTGGGAACTTTATGTAAGTCTGGATGTTATTTTTGACTGAATCGATTAAATTGATCTGAAATTTTTACAGGACCAAAAAAGTCAACGTTTTTATTACTATTCGGTTAAAGATTCCAAAACCATTTGGCAAAGGTAATTCTCGATTTTTTACACAACAACTCTGTTTATTGATTACATCCATCCTTTGTTTAGGCCAGACACTGCCGATGCAATAGTTGTACCATTGGCCAAATTACAGATCATAAAACAGGCCACCATTAACAACAATTCCCCATTGGATCATATATTATCAGGGTCTTCAAGAGGATCCGATATGAAACAAGCCAACACTTCATCATCATCATCGCCTTCATCGTCAACTAGTATAAGTCGATTGGCTATGATGACATCGCCAACAACAACGAATCCCAGTATGTGTGTGCGGTGTCGGCAAGAATCGCGACGAATAATGGTCGATTCTTCCACGCAAACCTTCAGCAGTACGACATCAGAAATGGTTCGTCTACCAAGACAACCGATGGTATCACGTTGGACGCAAACCACTAGCCAAACCCCGGTAAATATTCGCCGTCTACCAGATCTTTTGTCTGATGATCGACGACGGTCCCATCAACAACCTCATCAATATGCAGCACAAGCACAACCATCATTGCGGCACTATCTGCTAAGTGAAGCACGATTTGCTGCTCGTGGTCAAACTACTGGTACATCAGTACCAAAGACTCATCCAGCAAATTTACAGGATGATCGAATCTATGATCCAATTGCACCTGAATCCATTTATGACCCTGTTGCTCAGATGGATGATGAGGAATTTGTTCTAAACGAAGATTATTGTCAATATTATGATGATTTCGATGAGGACTTGACAGATTATGATGAAGATGATGAAGTTAGCTTTGAAAGTTGCGATGCTGATGATGAATTTGGTGACGAAAATTCTTACACCGATGAGGACGATGAAGACGACGATGACGATGAATCGCTGGATGATCCACATGATGCAAGAGGTTCATCGTCCGATTCTCATTTGGTTGGTGAAGATGATTACGATGATTATAATCAAATAAGACAACAAGGCCCAACAGATGACTATGACACGGTTGATTATGATCAAGGCCAATATAGCTCGACGGTGGCCGATAACCGAATGCCGGCAGTCATATCACGCTCAGCATTGGTGCAACAAAGTTTAGATGGATCACTGCGGATGTCAGCATCATTCACTGCCGCTGATTTTAAACGGAACGCACTCGGAAGAAGGTTCGTATTTACTCTCTTGGAGTTTTTCATTCTAATAAATCAATTTTATTACGGTAAACAGTAGCTATACGAATACAACAGCAACTCATCAACAGCAGCAATCTGCCCGCAAATACGAACAGCCATCATTATCATCGAATGCCCATAATCAACAGCAGCAGCAGCCTCGAGAAACGTGCTCAAAACCTGCCTATTCAAATCCATTCAACAATAATGGATCATCACCTAGCAATACTGGACGAATTGATGTCTATACTGACCAATCAATGGTGACTAACGAAACTAATAGAGGTCTTGGTAGTATAGCCGATCGTATACAATTGTTTAATCAAAAGTCATCAAATGTAACGACAAAAACAACGACGCCCACTTCGCCCATAAGTGTTCATCGCCAACAATCGATATCCGTATCTGCTTACGAACCAACAATTGCAGCAGCAATAACGCGAGGTTCGTTACATCGCTCGGCTACGACCGAAGGTGGTGACTGTAGTGCTATTGCTGCTAACCAAGTTCAACGATTTTTGCAACAACAAGTGACCAATGTCATCACACCACCAGCATTAAATCAAACATCAGTTCCAAGCAAATCGACATCCATGACATTGATAGCGCCACCCGCGGTTGTCGGTTCGGCAATTCAGAAGCAGCAATCTCATACAAATGAGCCGACAGCTGCATCGAACGGAAAACGTTCTAGTTTGAGCAGTAAATTCCCCATGATAACAACACCCAGCAACCAATTCGATTTGTCTATCGAAATGCCACGAAATAGCAGTTCGGCATCATTGTCACCTAGTCAAACACATCGGCCATTCGGATCATCGACACCAGTTCCGTCATCATATCCGATTCCACCACCACATTTACATCACAGTTCTCCTGCGTTTAATCAAATGAGTGATGCTCATAAAGCCATACTCATGAACCAGGCAACTTGTTTGGTCAAACCTTCGAAAGATAAAAACAATACATCGAAAGGAAACACAAAGAAAAATGTAGATCCCAATCACAGAGATCAAGTTACTACCGATGGCAAATCATCAAAAAAATCGACAAAAACTTCTGTAAGCAAAGATAAGTCAACCAATTTGAATGGTAACAATTCGATTGAATCGTTTGCTCGTGAATGTGTTAGTCGACACCGTAAGGGCGGCATATTCTCCAAGAAAAAAACGCTCAAATCCATGTTGATACATACGAAAAAACCGTTGAAAAAGCCTATGATATCAACCATATCTGATGCATTGTTAGTAAAAGAATCGGTATCCTGCTTCAAGATAATTCAGATATTCATGGGTGATCGTTCACCATCGCCAACTCAAAATTCAATCATTTCGGTTAATTCCAACCATCATCAAGCTTCATCAAACGCCGGAGACCGATTGTCGCCGATGCCGCGTAGTGATGATCAATTATTAGTTCGTTTGATCAACATTTGTGTTACATTGGTACCATTACGGGATGAAGTACTTGTACAGGTAGCACGTCAGGTGACACAGAATCCCAATTCTGATAGTGAACGTCGTGGCCTTGAACTAATGTGCACTTTGTTCTGGTATTTTACCGCATCGAACAAATTGGCACAACATTTGCATGCATTTCTTCATGGTCATCGAAATACATTTACGGCCATTGTTCGGCGAAAATTTGAACAACAGATGCATCGAAGTCGATATACGCATTCACATTTATTCTATCGAAAACCACATTCAGTCGATGAAGTAGCTCGAGTGTTACGTGCAGTTCATGCACAACATGTTGGCATCTTTGGTGAAACATTATATGACGCGATTGTTGAATCATCCAAACTGCCTTGGTATGTGTGTGGCTATTCATTTGAATGAAATATTAATCTCTAATCCATTCCATATAGGCCTATTGTTTTACTTACAGAGGCACTATTGGAGCCTAGACACGAAGATCGGGAAGGTGTTTTTCGTTGCGTTGGTGACATGGATGACGTGCATCGATTAAAGATGAAACGTAAGTCTGAAAGAATATTTTATTCGACCTGACTAACATTGCATTATATAGTCGACACTGTACTGTCCGCAGATCGTCACTTTAATCAAATGATCGGACTCTCAACCACTAATGACTCATCACAAAAAATAGGCAAATTAACCGATGATCATGATATACACGTGATTGCATCCACATTGAAACTGTATTTTCGTGAATTACGTGATTCAATTATACCTTCAAACCTGTATCTACAGGCATTGGATTGTGCCCATGATCCGATTAGAGCTTGTGCTTTGCTCGATCAACTTGATCCATTGAATCGGTCAACATTACGTTACCTGATTCATTTCTTACAGGTTCGTATGTGAAAAAATTATTTTAAACTAAAATTAAGGATTCAATCGTTACAGATATTTTCCACCAATGAATATGTACGTGACACCAAAATGGACGATGCCAATCTATCCATGGTATGGGCACCAAACATTCTACGTAGTCCTTCGACCACTGGCCAACAACAACAATTATTGTCTGGCCCGGCAGCGGCTAAAGCTGCCATGATCAATAGTGCCAACATATATGAACATACAAGAGCGGAAATGTCTTTTGTACGAACCTTGATTCAACATTTACCAACTGATAATGGAAATGATACTAGTCCTAAATACCTTAAATACACTAGACAAAAAGCAAATGTGTGAGCAGCTAAAACTTTGATATATTTTTTTTTGTAAAGCTGAAACACACCCGACATTATTATACATTTACTTAACCCCATACTACCATAAGTATTCTTCTATAAATCTGTCCAATGAAAAGATATCATTGCTCATTGATAATTAATCACACTCTCAAATGATTCGCGCGCTTGTCGAAAATTATTTTTAAAATATTCAATAAAAATCTATTTCCACACAACAATGTCGTTTGTTTATTACTGATGAAATAGAAGGACAGCATAATTATCAATCACCAAATGGTTGCATTTATAGAACACATGAATAACGGTTCTTATGGTATCGAATAATTTATCTGGTCGCTAACTTTTTCCATGACAAATGTCGGCAGCAAAAAGAACATTCACGGCTGCTGTACGAGCCGTACAGGTTCAACGTGATTCAAATCGTAAATTGAGATCAGCAATATCAATGGTAAGTTATTTTGTAGATTATCGAGTAACCCCATCATTCATTCGATTAATCATATAGACACCGAATGCAATTAAACGAATCAAAAGCTTAATGCTAGAACGGCCGGATGTTGTAAGTTGACAATTTTATAATATCAAGTTGACCTAGATTATGTATTCTTATTTGCATATATTCAGATCGGTTTACGTATCGGTGTCAAACAACGTGGATGTAATGGCCTCTCCTATCAGCTGGAATATGCCACTACTAAAGATAAATTCGACGAAGAAGTTGTTCAAGATGGTGCTCGATTACTAATCGATCGTAAAGCTCAACTATCATTACTTGGCAGTGAAATGGACTATGTAGAAACAAAATTATCAGCTGAATTTGTATTCAATAATCCGAATATCAAAGGAACATGTGGTTGTGGTGAAAGTTTTAGCATATAACATTTTTTTTATTTATTTATTTAAGGCAATACATTAATATTCGAAAAATTTAATGACCGAAAAAATAAAACAATGGTCTTATGTACAGTGTATATTACAATTTTTTTTTGTATTATAAGACAAAATAATCAGAACAATGAAGAAGCAGAACTTTGGCTTACGTAGATAATGGCACCGACAAAGTTAATAGCTGCAGCTAATACAAACACAGGTAACCAACGACCATGCGATTGAGTGACCAGTTCCGCTGTAAGTGGGCCACATAAAAGGCCAGGTATAGTGGCTATCGTATTTGATATGGCGAATGTTACACCAGCGTGATTAGGAGCTACATCTGTATGATTACTGAGATGGCCAGCTGCGTTTAATGCACAAAATGACATGGCCATACATATGATCACTATGGCTAACCACAATGTTTTGAGAGAACAAAATAACAGCATACATAGACCAGCGCCAAATAGACCAACACCAGTCATCAAACGTCGAACTGACAATATTGACCATTTACGTTCAGAAATCAGACTGTCGGCAAGATGTCCGGCTCCTACAAACAAAATAAAGAATATCGATAAATATCAAAGTTATGATTAATCAGTGGATACTTACCAATACCAGCCATAGAGTTCATAATGTAAGGCAAGGCTGTCAGTGATAGGGATTTTTGGTCGGCTGCCAAGTATCGTGAAAGGTAATATGGTAACCATTGCATGATAATATAGCTAGACCAATTCATGGCGAAATGAGCCAAATATATGGCCCATAATGGCCAACGTGTCATCAATTCTGACCAGTGAACGTGGCAACGATTATTGTTAGTTAATCGACTACTTTTTGAACCATCATTAATCATAAGAGGTGCTTCCAAATCACCAGTTGGCCGATTATTACTGGTAGATGATACAAGATCGTCGACAAGATGATTGGTACGATGAAAGAATCGAAACCAGAACATTAGCCAGAACATGCCTAATGTGCCCATTGTATAAAACATGAATGGCCAGTAAACATGCGATGTGACCAAAGCAGATACGGTTTGTCCGACTGTGCCGGCAGATATAAGATAGCCGAAAGCCCGGGATCGTTGTGAAATTGGAACATTGGCTGCGAATAACTGATAGATCATGGGCAGACCTAGTCCTTCGCCCAAACCTAACAATATACGGAACACAATGAATAGGTAAATGTTGGAGGCAATCATTGGAGTGACCAGCGTAGACAATGACCAGAAAAATATGGAAATGGTGAGAACATTACCAGCTCCATATCGGGAAGCTACATTGCTCACAATCATCTGACTAGTGATGTAACCGATAGCAAACGAACTCAATATCCAGCCTTGCCAATGGATCGACCATCCAAATTCATTGGCCATTGGTATGATAGCGATTGGCATGATGACACGATCGGCCGAATTGATCAGATTGGCCACCGTGCAAAGACATATTAATCGATTGATTGCCGTTCTTGGCCATATCGAAACGATCGAAAATTTCATGACTACTGTTGCTTATTAAGCTTTATTGTGAGTATTTATCATTCTGACCACGATTGAATTAACCATCAGAATGAATAACAAATGAAAAATTGAAATTATTCTAAAAATCACAAAATACAAACACAAACACAAACACAGTTTGACACGCATACAATAATCGCATGTGCTATTTTGACCTATGTAAGTAATTGGTGTATTTTTGCTTGTTCTTTTTGATCTGGATTATAACGATTTCATATTTCATAAATGTTTACAATTTTTTTTTGATTCACCGTAGCCATAACGACAATCATGTCATCAATACGCCAAGATGAAAATGAATTACATGAATCGCTAGCATCATCATTCCAAAAAATTCTAGATATAAATGAAGAACTAAATCATAGCTCTATGTCGACAAATGATCCGAAATATCAGGCAAGTTTTTTCAATTGACGATTTTCAATTAAATCAATGAGAATGGTTATGATGATAATAGGAAAAAGTGGCTGATGCCATCGAACGATTGGAAAAGATGACCAAGAACATCAACACATTGGCTATTTTCAGTGCCAACGAAACGATGGATGAGATTCAGACCGAACATCTCAAATATCTGTTGTTGCCCGCTTTGTTGGCCGATTTTACTTTGAAAAATCAACGTTATGATCGTGTACAAGTGTTGGAAACAGGACAAATCTATTACAGAGATTATATTCAACGTCTTAATGATTATCAGTTCTGCGATGTTAACCTCAACACTAATAATGACGAAGACGAAAGTAAAACCAAGTCTGTTGCAAGTAGTACCAATCAAGTGGATTTATTGTTAAGGCAAGCACAAGCAAGAGAATCAAAAATCCAACGATATCGGCAGATGAAACAGCTAGAATCAGAATTGGAACAGCTAAAACAGTTGATTATTGACCAACAACATTCCGGTGATGAAGATGTTGAGAGGCAATTCTATCTGAAATTAATTCGTCGATGGCTCCAACAGGCCATTGATGAATTAAGTGCTATCGAAGCCGAAATGCCTATGGTCAAAATGCGTGCTGCAATGTTGAAAATGTCCACCGTCACATCGGACGATACGGATAAACTAGATAGAAGGAGGCAACCTTCATCAAAACCGCTTACGCCGATCATTTTGACCAAAAATCGACTGCAAAAACAAGTGTATGGAGCAGGATATCCATCCATGGCCACCTATTCGGTCGATGAATTTGTACAGCAAAAAATAAAAGAAGGCAGTCTTCAATTGACCGATAAAAACATGTATGTTCCATTATCATATTGATATGATATCAAATTGATTTGACAATTTTTACATTTATCTTGTACATAGCTATAACAATTCATTGTACGATTGGGCCAATAATCCAGAGAAGAAAAAAATGGAAGAACAAACGGAAGAAGAATCCAAAGAACTATTAATCGAACAGGATGATGAACGAGAACTGGCTCGATTACGAAAATGGGATGATTGGAAAGATGGTGAGTCAGTTTTTTTTTGATAGAATCTTTTAAATATATTTTTTGTGTTTACAACAGACCATAAGAGAGGAGAAGGAAATCGACAAAACATGGGATAACAGATTCATTTCATTTTTGTATAGTCATAGAGCATTGATTTGAGCTTAATAAAATATGCTTTTAAACACTTTTATTTCAATTTTTTGTTATTTGTGCGATGATCGTAAACCTAAACAGTTGAGAAAACGATTTGTACGGGTCAATGCTTCGAAACCGGTCGATTGACTACGAGCCGATTTGGATTTGTGCAATTTGAATAATGAGGCCAGATTTGTTGCTAATATTATTAAACAGATTTAAAAAAACATCAATGAGAAAAACAACAAAACCAACTTACATATAGTGGATGCACGTGATTGTTTCGATGTACGAGATGCATTAGATACGAATGAATTGACTGTTAATTCGTTCATACGAGAATTGGACCATTCGGTTGTATCGGAGGCTGAAACCGTAGCATATTCAAATTCTTCATCATCATCATAGACGGCTAATTCATCACCACAACTACCGTTATGTAATTGCCATAGATATGGTAGAACCGACATGGAACGTAATTCATCACCGCCTGGTTTACATGGTATCCGAACAGGTTGTTCTATTCGAGGATGTTTTTTTCTTACCCAACTAGTAAGGATTACCGGACAAAGTTTAAAAAGAGAATCTCATTAAATCAAGTCTAACTTACTCATGTTGCTTAATCTGCTGGATGGAAATTCGTTCATCGGGTTCTTTGCATAGCATGGCTCTGACCAGATCGGAAAGAAGATAATCCATTTCGGCCGGTATGATTAGATCAGCTTTGCTTATGTTGTCGTATAAGCTAAAAAATAAAAAGAAACAATAAAACAATTTTTTATGATAATTTTTCTTACATACCGATAGATATTATCTCCTTGAAATGGATACTTTCCTGTCGTAATGTTGAACAAGGTGACACCAGAAGCCCAGATATCCACTTTGAATCCGCTGAATTTTGCTCTGCCATCAGCTATTTCAGGCGGCTGAAATGCTGGCGATCCTTGACTGGTAGAGATCATATCATCTTGCTGGAATCTATCTAACATCTTTTTCCAACCAATGTTGACATGTTTTGATCATAATCAATTCAATAATTGAATCAATAGCTTACCTCGGAAACACCAAGATCGGTTATCTTGATGACACCACCATTGCTGAGCAATAGATTGCCCGGTTTGATGTCCTTATGAATAATGCCTTGGCTATGAAGATATTCCAAACCATTGACTAGCTGTACAAAATAACTGGCAACAAATTCTCAATTAAAATTTAACAAACAACAGGATATTGAATTTTACCCATGAGCTTGATGTATTGGTAACCGTTTTGTAGTGGGTACAGAATCCAAAAGCTCTTGTAGAACGGCTACACAATATTCCATGATGATGTACATTTTTTCTTTAACATCATCATATATTACATCGTATAGTTTGACCAGATTTTCGTGGTTCAATTTTCGTAACAGTTGTATTTCGCTATTTTAATGTGATGGACATAAATGAATTGTAAAAAAAATCGATAATAAACTTACCGTTGTACATTTTGTTCACCGTTCGGTATTTTACGTAGACGTTTTTTCTTCATTATCTTGGCTGCTCTACGTTCCAATGTTTCTGTATCGAGCACTTCTTTTACTTTGGAATAGGAACCTTCACCGACAACATCACCAAGCAAGTATTTGGAAACGAATTTTACTTTTCGTCGTTTCTTTTCATATAATATTTCAGAAGAATTGACTCGATGATAGGAAAGGGGTTTATCCTGTATAGATACCGCCGCTATGGCTGATCCACCAGTGGCTGATACACCATGTACTGGTTCGTGTTCGAAAAGCAATGATTTTTCATATAGAAAACCATCGGCACCCAAACAGCCATCGAGCATTTCCTCTTCAGTAATGGGGGGAGGTGTTACAAACAAAGGTCTTCGTTCATCGCAGACATCTTTTTCATCGTCATTGTCATCATGGGCCAATTGAATAATCGGTATGGTAGCAGTATTCGACACTGTAACCGCCGGTATTTTGGCAGAATGCCCTTGGTCGGATGATGATGATGATGGGCTAGTGTGGCCACATTGTTTATCCCTATTGTTTGGATTATCACTCGATTTGTTCATATCACAATTATTGTTATCGTTTGGCACAATCAAATCCACTTGACATTTGTTATCCGAAGTGCATGAAAGTTTTTTCTTCACTCGTTTTGTAGATTCGGATCGTTGATCATCGTCATCGCTAGCGCGGGCATATTCTGGCTGTACATTTTCATCACTTGGATTTGATATAGAAATATTTTCACCCATTTCTTCAGTGACAATCGGATCTATTGTAACCGTTGATGATTCGGCAGCTGTCAACGATGATGATGATGATGACTGCATTGCAATCAATATATTGATGACAAGAGTATCAATGAACAGAAATGACAATGCCGATTATATACATGACAATATAACTTAATAATAAATGGCTATTATTGTGGCAATTGCATTAACAGTAGTGGACATTCGAAGTTTATATATGTGTGGCGTATGTCTGTTTGTCAAGAACCGATTGATAGGACGATCTGTAAATAAAGATAATATGTTGACAATAAAATAAATGGCTCTTTGGGTCGTATAAAATTGATGTTTTTTTTGTACGACATTCATCCATTCATTGTTGATATAATTTTAGTAATAATATGTTCGATTCTCCAATGTTTAAGATCATCTCTTAGTATCGTATAGATGCTTGTGAAAATCGACGTAGATTCAATTCAATCGGATTCTCCAATGTTTACAGATCATCTCCACACAGCTATCAGCACATCCAATATACACACACACACATATATACATAACACATGACACACAAAGGCGTCTTAACAAGAGAAAGTGAAAATCGATCGTAGAATCGATTATAGCGTTCATCATATCACATGGAACATCGTCATAAAGTTTAAAAATGTCAAAATTTCTTTTGTTTGAAATGAAAGAAAAACGGCAGTAAAAATGATTATTTTTTCGATGAATTATGATAATTAACAAAAATAGGCTAAAAAATGGATTTCATATAAATAACTGGGATCAGTGTAAAGATTGAGACAAATCCAAACTACCATCACCACCTTGGACGTTAGCTAAACATTTTAGATTCATTATGGTCACTGGTGGCTATTGTGCTAGTCGGAAATGTTGAAAAGATTCGATCAAGATATGAATTGAAAAATAGTCGATTTGGATCCAATCTTTTGCGTATATGAGCCCAATATCGGAAATGCGGATACATTCGAACCAAATCAACGGCCGTTTCTCGATGATTCTAAGAGAATGTGGTCATAGACATATTTAAGACAAAATAGTCTTACACACTTACCTTGGCCCAATGAGGCCGTCCTCCGTTTCGTTTCATAATCTCTTCATAACGATTCCAATAATCGGTATGGTCAACATGTCGTCCATATGGTCGATATGAGATAATGTTAATGTATGTTGAATCACGACCATAACTTGGCGCAAGATAGATGGAAGATGGTTGAACAAATCGAACTTCGATAGGAAAATGTGCGTATAGGCCACCATGATCGATTGCTGCTTTTAGCTCGCGTAACACTTGACTTGTCTTGTTCCTAAATATCATTATGTAGAATTGAGATTTTTTTTATACTGAAAATGTTTCATACCTGGGAATGGACCATTCGTTGACGTGTTGAGCGAACAGGCATTCGAAATTAAAAACTTTATAACTAATGTCCATTTGGACTTGATTTGATGAATAAAGCAGCCAGAATGCTAATCGATTGATGGTGGGCACTATTGCCGGCGCATAAGTTGATAGCCAATAAGCGAATTGAAGTAGATGATAGCCAACACCATATTTAATGATCCAGTCGAAAATTTTCTGAAGCATATCACGTTCTGAATGAAGTCGATATTGATTTACCAAATCCACTCCGTATTGATCAGTTATTTCATACGGTTGTTCTGATTTGTATAGATTAAGAAATGCACCTTTCACTTTGTTCGTTATGGAAACAGAAACATAATCGGTATGTGGAAAGTAAAGAAAACGGAAATGATCACATGATTCAACATTCTCATCCAATCGATCAAGTACATAATCTAATCGGCTGGGATACGTTAGTTGATGTAAAAAGAATTTAGGCTCACATCGAATAGTGACTTCTAATATGATACCCAATGCGCCTAGGCCACATAGTACAGAATTGAAGACATCATTATGTTGAGTGCCAGATTCTTTTGAACAAGATATTATGTCTCCTGAAGGTGTTATCAAACGCATAGCTACCACATAATCGGCTATGATGCCCGTTTGATAACCAGTTCCGTGTGTGCCAACCGATATGACTCCAGCCAATGCAGATTCCGATATTGAACCTAGACTGACCATATGATTAACACATATTCGAAAAAAAATTAAATGACAATAAATATGGCTTACACAGGCAACGCTAGTTCATTTTCTTCAAGTAATTTATTCAATCGATCAAGATGAATACCGGCTTGGACTGTGACAAGGCATTGTTGTCGATCAATATAAAGAATGTTTGAAAAACGTTCCATCGATATCATATAATCAGATGAACAACATAGATCAGAGGGAGAATTACCGCATCCAACTACACGGATTCGTTTCTTTTCAGTTTTGGCTAAATAGAGAATCTCACGAATTTCATCGATTGTTTCTGGGATAAAAAACAATTCTGGCTCACATTGATAAGTACCGGACCAATTTTTAAATTGATATCCAGCCACTGCTATTCGCTAAATATCAAGGTATATTTTTAATTCATGTTACATTCAAATATAACTTACCTCTAAATCCATAGTAGATATATTGAATTAGGAATCTGATTTAAAATGACAGCGAACACATGTATTGATCAAAACAAATCCGATCACGTGATCAATGTGTCCTTGGCAGTTGGTTTTGGTTTGTTTTCATTTCATATGGACAGATGGCTGAATGTGTGAATGAAATAAATTCAAATGAGCTATACACGATTTTTTCAGCAGCAGATCGAATAAAGTCAAAGAAAATGTTGTCAATATGGATTGAATGATTTTCCAATTATAATTGATTATTATTATTATTGTATCAAATGCAATTTATTTCTTTTTTTTAACCTCTATTTTTGTAATGTATATGGGTGGGTTTGATTTATTAAACATTAATAATAAACGATAATGATAATAATTTATTCCATCAACCATCTACTTAATTATGGAATCCTGTTGATTCGAACATCATTGTCAATTTGATATAAAAAAAAACATATCCATTCGTTTGCTAAAAAAAATTGAATTATTCATAATGAATCATTCATAGACAATTTTTGAATGCGCGCGCGACTGACCCTTGAATCATAATTTAGAACAACACGACCGAGAATGATTCGTTCGAAATGAACTTGATGAGAAATGATTTTAGCTATAGCCGGCTGTTATCTTCAAATAAAAAAACGGGTTGCAATATTGGGCGCATGTTCCAGAATATTTTGATCCGGGAGCCACTACCACCCACATGCTATCGAGTCGAGGTCGCAATCTGTTGTATTTGTGTGTGTGTGTGTGTGTGTATTACAGGATACAGTGGCTGAATTTCTAGGTCCAATTGAAATTCTGGCTCATAACTGCTGCTGTTTATGAGTGTTTTGAGCCAAAAAAAAGTAGTGATGATGACCAACAAACCAATTCTCACCCACCATTAACTGAAAGAATGGATGAATGAATGACAGGCACTCATACTCACTAAGATTTCTGCTGCCGTATAAGGCCATTGGATTTGGCCAGTCTTTGGGCTCAATAAATTTTTTTGGCCATTAAATTATTGCCCAATTTCGACAAATTTTTGTTTGTTGTCGTTAAGAATTTCCATTTGGTCAGAGTAACAATGAAAATGATAAAATTAATTGCATTTGGTCTATATATATTCGATTAATGTTGTTAGGCCGATAACATATAAAATGCGATCGTAGAATTTGTATATTTCGTCATTTAATAAAATTCTGTGTTTGTTGTTAATAAATCTGAATTTTTTTCTTCAATAATCATCTCACAAGTTCAAAAAGTGTTGTTTTTTTTTTGGTGGTGGTGGGTGGTAGTGATAATTAACCAAGATCGAAAGCCACAAAGCGATATTATCTATTCACACAACATAAATGTCTGCCAACGCAGTAAAAGTAAGTGATGATTCAAATGATGATGGTGGTGGTCCATTACGTTTGTTATTGTTGATATTGTTGGTCGCTCGTGTTCCTATTTGTATGATATTGTGTATTATTGAAAATATTGCCTATAAACGTCAATATCAAGGCTTTCTAGGTGATCGATTAGGTTTGAATGAAATTAATATATCATATCAACGGGAAAAGGTAAGTCACCATTTTTTAGTGATGATGATCCAATCTAACTATTAACCGTTATATTATAACTGGATTAGTATTATCTTCTGGTATTGACTACTATAATGATCGCATACTATCTTCTTACCAATATTGCTGGTTTAATATCAATAATTAGTCGACATTGGGTTATGTATGTTACGTTTGTAACATTCAATTTGGTCTGTATTTTTCTCGACGTAATAATGGCCTCTCATTTACATAAGACACGGTTCTGGATCCTGATGGCTATCAGTCTGATAGTCTCCATTATTGCTATCAAATTCTGTATGCAAATATCGGCCAATTGGTCACAAGGAATTGAAATATGGCCCGTTTTGACCACATCGACCAAAGCATCATCGATTCGCATTACATTACTGGTTTTGGATATTGTACGTTTATTGGCCATTATTATCCTTTTAATTGGTGCAAATCGTTCGTATCACCGATCTCATCAAGGTCTTTTTGTGGGTGTAGATGCTGACGTACAACGTACCAAGATCATTTTGTTTCTATTGAGCGTTTTGGCCATGGCAATTTACGTATTTGCCAATGTATATAGCATATTGGCCCTCATGTACAATCGAACATCGATGTTGATCACATGTGTCATATTCAACATATTATGTTTGATACTAGATTCAATAATCACAAATAAGGTTCGACAATCATATCGTCCAATGTGGTTGGCTATCGTATTATCTGTAGTGACCATCATACTGTCCATTTGGTTCATCATAATGGATAGTAGCCCTAAAAAGGAAACGAACAATTAAAAGCTTGATTAGTAGTGTGATCATCACAAAACACAAATATATAAATTCATATATTATGCATGCCATTAACAATGTATTTATTTCTGTTCCATGACTGATCCATTGATTCTTTATTGTTTCGATTAGGCGTGATCACAATGTATCAGACAAATCTTGCTGCTCAACAGCAGCCACAACAGCAACCAATGCTGGTTATGCAGCCAACGGTTGCAGCTACGGCCGCATATCAACAGCCATCACAACAACCCAATTTATCAAATTCATTGATGGCATTATGCTGTGGCGGTTGTCGTAAGGTAGGCACGGTAAAAACATACACAAAGGAAATTCCTGGTTTAATTTGCTTTTCCCATACCAACATAGAATGCTCATGGTTTCACCCATCCGCAAACGCAGCTATTGAATCCATCAGTTAGCAATAATTATCTATATCAGCAGCATTTTCAACATCTACAACAACCAAAACAACAACGTTTACAGCAGCAACAGGCTAATGCGAATACTACGGTTATGGCATCACCAGCACCCACCTCATCATACGTACCAGGATGCGGCGGTCAACAACGTTATGTTGGTAGTATGGCTACCACTTACGTTATACCAAATCAGCAACACCAATCACAGCAACATCCATCATCACAACAGTCGCAATTAATAACACAGCATCTGAATGTCATGTCACCATCGCGTACGGCGGGAAGTGCCTGTGGAACGATAACCGCTCAGCAACATCAATATGGAAAGCAATCATCACCATCAAATGGGCCTTACCATCATCATGGACACGATATACGTGGTGGTGGTGGTGGTAGAATAGTATCTGATATGATGGTCATCGCACAACCGGATTCATTTCGTCGAATATCAGGACTAACATCCGATGTGTTCAGGCAAATCGAACAAGTGGAACAACAATTTGATCCAAGTTCGTTGGCCAGCACTCAATATGCTGAAATGGAACGTCGAGGTGAAATGATTATACGTATATTATCACCAACGCAAATATTACCACAATGGCTAGATGATACGTTACGTCGTTTTGGTGATGGTGTATCATTGCCTTCGTGGATACAATTTGTCGAAATTATCAAACGACCGGGCCAAACATTGGGTCTATACATTCGTGAAGGTGATGGCCTTTATACCATGGACGGTGTGTACATATCACGCATTGCACTCGAATCACCTGTTTATCAATCGGGCTGTCTTCGTGTTGGCGATGAAGTATTGGCCATAAATTTTGTTGATGTATCTCGAATGTCATTAGATGATGTTGTTCTCATCATGTCCATACCTAGACGATTAATATTGACGATTCGTTCGAGACCATTGAATGCAGAGCATATGCTCACTAATCGTAGTATCTATGGAACTGGCATGTCTGATTCCTGTTATTACGATACGGTGGCTGGCGATATCTATAGCCGCGTAGATGATCTACGAAGTAAACCAGTAGTAGTCGTCAAGCAACAACAGTCTACTGATCCATCTCTTATGTTGGATGAAGATGAAGAGGAAGAGGTATTTCAGGCAGCATCGGCTGCAGCGGAAGCCGGTCTACTGGATGATCCAAGCACAGCGGCAGCAGCTGCTGTTGCAGCATTACAGGATCCAACACCGGCTAAAGCTGCGGCAGCAGTAGCGGCTGTCAACGAAATCATGGTACGAAGTGGTAGTTCCCTTGAATTGTATGGTAGTAATGCTGGTTCAAGTCTGATGATGACAACACGATCACGGCGAAATCGACGCCTATTCACATCGGACAATTTGGCCGATCTTTATCAATCAGAAACCGAAAGAGCAATAGCTAATAGCAATCTCTATGCCAACATTCAAGGTACCAGAAGTGGTAAATTATCTTCGAGCCCGCTTATGACCACAGTCAATCAAAAACCGATTCGTACACCATTATCATCATTGTATCATGGTCGATTGGCACATCATGGATCACGATCAAGATCGGCCACTGGACGATTGATGCGTACATCAAGTGAACAGATGCTTTATGGTGGTCTACATCAGGATCCGGGAGAACAGATTGATCATTTTCTACAACGTTATCAGTCATTGAAACAGATGCAACGTGGTCATCGACCTATGCGAACCCGACATCATAGTCTTGATCATTCGTCCATGTTGAGTAATTCATATTCCACACAATCATTGATCGGAGCAATGCCCAGTTCTAATTATCGCGATATTTCACATCAACATGGAATGGCCATACCATTACCAGGTATGGCCGAAGCTGTAGCTATTGCTCGTCGTCGATATCTTCGAGGTGAAACCAATATTGATTCTTCTGGCAATCTGTTTGATAGAAGTTATTCGGATACTGAACAACAATATGGAGAAATAACGGATCGTTTTAATCGTAGCAATTCGTTACCTCGAACGCCTGGACTAAGCGGCCGTCATTCTCACCATCGTGCTAGCAGTAGTTTATCGAATCGGCTACAACAATTGGAACAATTCTATTCATCAACCAAAAGCCATGGACTACGATCATCTGCTCGACCACATTCAGCTATGGCTGGTAATTATGATGCCCAAGACATTGCTACTGATTCTTCCACAGCTGATATGCTTTCACGAATGCGTCGTACTGGTCAAAATCGATATTCAGGACAAGGAACTGGGGCCGCCTCACAATTGATGTCATCAACTCGATTGGATTCATTACGTGCAAGTCTAGCTGAATCATCATCATCGGAAGATGTCCTGGCCAAAAGTCGTAGTTCATCGCGAACTGCAGCTACCGCTGCATCAACATCGGCCATATATGAAACGATTCGTAAAAGTAAAATGGCTCAAGACCTACAGCAACCACAATCCGGTCGATTAGCAGCAGCAGCTGCTGCTGCTGCTGGTTCTACTACAGATGATATGAAATCTCGTTTCTCAAGTTTACAGATCTCACGACATTCTTCAGATACACATGGATTCAATCGGCCACCATATGATGACATGTTGGACACATGCCATACACAGCAACAGCCACAAGTTTCATCGGCTACAACATCGTTAATAGGTCAAATATCAACACGTCCATCGCGCATATTAATGATTGATCCAAGTGGATTTCAACAATATGGTCCAGATCTACATAGACAAACAACGGCAACTATTGGTACAGGCGGCAAAAATGATGGCCAAATTGCTGGATACAGTGGATTATTGGTCATACATTTACTTGGGGTACGTGGTCTTCAATTGGACCATTTGATCGCAACCAAAAGTGTAACATCAAAGACGGGAGCCAAACGAGTTCTATATTCAGTGGTCGAATGTGATCGGATATACAAAGCCAGAACCGTAGCTGTACAATCACATGAGAATAATAGCTCGAATTTCGATTGGGATGAAGTGTTCGATATTGATCTTTTCGACACGAAAGAAGTGTCATTCCTATTCTATACGTGGGATCAATCACTGCCTGATTTGAATATGCGTCATAAACAATGTTCCAAAGGAACTATACACTTACCATCGATACCGGCATTGACCAAACAACATGTTCATGCATTCGAGCTTCGGCTATATGATACACCTGGTGCCATGTTTTATATTAAACTTGAATATCATGATTTAATTACCACATTCAAACGATCGAAACGTGATCATAAAAGTGGTGTACGTACAAGTAGATCATCAATGAGTGGACCACGATCATCGACTATTGGTGAACAACCATTATTTGGTGTTGATCTTGAAACAGTTATTGCTCGTGAAGCATCAGGATTTTCGGTACCACTTATTATTAAAAGATGTTGCGAAGAAATCGAACAACGTGGCCTACATATGTTGGGCATTTATCGTCTTTGTGGTTCATCATTGGTCAAACGAACATTACGTGAATCATTTGAACGAAATGCATGGCTTGCTGATATTAATGCTGAGAATGTTCCCGATATCAATGTTATAACAAGTGAGTAATGTTTTCAGAATAAATTTTTCTATAGAGAATCTTTCCGAAAAGTATACCACATTTTCCCCTAAAATTCAATCATGTTCCGTTTATTTTTCTTCACCACACACAAATCGTTTATTCTGTGTTTCCATTGTTTTTGTTTTTATCGTCATCATCATCATCATCTTTTTACCACCGAATCTGGGACATAATAATAAGATTTTACTTTTCATTTTATTAATTTAATACATTTCTTATTTTGCATTTTTATGTTTGATTTATTTTATGCAAAAAAAAAACCGGTCAATTGTGTATTTAGTAGTATAATATAGTACACACATTCACAATGTATAATCTATTAATCGATTAATGGTCGATTAGTTTTGATTCACACTCATCTTTTCTTTGTGTGTGTGTGTGTGTGTGTGTATTGATTGAAACGTATATTGTCATTTTGTGTTCTATACGACTATTGTGACTAAATTTTATTTCATCATCATCTATATCTGATCAAACTTTTCTATGGACGATGATAAATGGACATATATTTGAAAATGAAATGAAATGATCATGAATGTTAAACATCAAATGTACAAATGAAATCAAAGCTTCAAAAGAAGACGACATTTTTCATTTGCAAATTTTTTTTCTTACATTTATTCATCAAGTTGTGTTGGCAATTTTTTTCGAAAAAAAGTGTTTTTTTTATTGAAGATTTCAATTCGAATTGTATTCATTTTTCACTTTATCAATGTCATCATCACCGACTAGTGGTGAAGATAAAATTCATCTATCAACTTTAAACAAACAACGTTCTTCGATGATAACTATGGATAGTCATATTCCTAGTCCATCATCTATGGATTCTGGTTTTGAGTCGACCGGTTCGCCTATCAATTCCATGTTGCAAAAAACACAATCAATATCGGTGAAAGAGCAATCAACATTGAATAGTTTGAAAAATATCGAACGATCAGACGAATTGGACGTACAAACATTGGCAACCGTTATACAAGAAAATAATAAAGAATACATGGAAAATTTGAATCATATTATCGAAACATTTAATGCTAAACTAGGTTTGACTAATACCAAATCGAATGAACTGGTTGATGATCGTACTACAATCACTGATGGCAGTGATGATCATGAACCAATTTATCGACGTTCATCCTTGACAAATGTGATGAACCAGCCTTTAAGCAGCAACATCAAATCGACAACAACTGATCGGTCAGTCAATCTGGATCGTGGTGTATCTGGACGTAGAAATTCAACACAATGGCCAATCGGAACGAATCGTTCTTCACCGTTTAACATTGGATCTGGTCATTATCAAAAACAACAGCTACGACATTCTCGATTTTCAAATGTTAATCTATTATCAAAATCAGCTCCAATATCAGACAATTATTTCTTTGATGAAATAAACCGCGATAATAATGGTAAATGCAAATCATCATTCATGAACGAATGGAGATTAGCCAATAATTCGGGTTCATTTCTTAATCCGAATGCTAGCCATTTTTCACCTACAGATAATGATTATCAACAAGAGATTCGTTCGTCATCCGTGCACAAGAATGATTCAACTGGTAAGAAAATATCCGGCAAAGTAGACAAAGGAGCGTTGTTCGTATTGGATGAAGAATTTTTTGATCGCAAAGAACGAAACTCGAAAAATTTTCTCCAAATGCTGGCTGAAACAGGAGTTGATGATGATGGTCCATTCGGTGATTTTGATTCATCGTATAGTCAGTTACCATTCATGATGATACCGAGTACGGCTATTGAAAGTATGCATTCACCCGATTCGGGTCAATGTTTGAATTCGAATTCATCGTTTGGTAATATTGTTGCTTCGTCATTCATTAACGACATGAAACAGCAACGGTCATCGACAACTAATATCTCTGATGGTGAGTCCATTGTTGTTCATAGAAAATAGTTTATCAATCAATTTCTTATTTAATATTCATATATAGATTCATCATTCTCTTTCGATAATGTGTTGGGTAAAGGTTCGATTAGTAAAACTAAAGGAAGTAAAGTTGCCAATAATGATGAGCAGAAGCATATGGAACAACAATCGCAATTGGACACTAATCGATCACTTTTCGGTAATATACATGGGCTGAGCAGTTTGATCAATCAGCCTTCTGTTGTGGCAAGTGGCCATTCAAGCTTAATGGTTCCCTATTCACCATTATCAACTCCTTCATCTTCCAGTGAATCAAGTTCAATGTTGTTAGTTTTACAACAGCAACGTACTTATAATGCTAATGCCATTGCTTGTGTAAATGATGAATTGGAAGTTCGAGCTCGCAAACATCGAGAAGAGGCTAGCCGTGTTGATCAATGTCAATCGATATTTTCCATTAACCAATTTGAGTTCAAATCACAACGTTCTGTCACATATTCGGTCAAAGTATTTCTGGGTGGTGTATTATGGGATATGACCAATGAAGATATGTTGGAAGCATTTCGTCAATTTGGTGTTGTGGCCGTACAACGACCTGGTAAAGAAGTTCGGCCAAGCCGCTCAAGCCGAGATCTAAGCAAAGCTGGCTATTTGTATCTCATATTTGATGATTCAACATCGGTTGAACGTTTGATCAGTGTATGCAAAATAACATTCGATAATGAAGGCTCAAAATTCCTTTATCCGCTACAATCAAAACGTTCAAGAAAAACCAAGAATGTTCAGGTGATACCATGGGACAAAAATGATTCATTCCATTATCGTCCTGGATTTCCTCATCACGATACAATGGCCACCAACAATGCTGGAAACATGCATTCGATGATTGACGAAAGTCGAATGGTATTTTTGGGAGCTTTACACGGAATGATGAATTCTAAATCCATATTCGAAGCTTTACAAGAAATATTCGGTCCAGTTGACTATGTCATACTTGAAACTGATCGTTTTGATTATCCAATGGGTTTCGGTAGGGCTCAATTTGCTACGACATCTGCCTATCAACGAGCTATTAATGCACGTTTTGTCAAGGTGTTGTCATTACGTTTTAAGAAAACGGTATGTACAATACGTCATAAACTTTTTTTTGATGATTAATCCATTCCAAAAATGAATCTGAATCAGATTCAAGTTGATCCATTTCTTGCAGATCAAAAATGTTCGCAATGCCAGATTGAAAATGGTCCTGTCTATTGTTTTGAATGTCGCCATTATTATTGCCGCAATTGTTGGACTATGAGACATAATGATCCTGGCAAAGAATGGCATAAGATATTGATGAAAAAGGTTTCGACACCCATTAATGTTCCAGCTGCTATAGCTGCTTCTCCCAATAGCAACACTAATACCATCAATACCAACAATACCGGCATTACATCAACGAAATCCCATTGAAAATTGCCCGAATGTTTGCGTGTGTTTGTGTTTGAATGAGCAAAAGAGAATGAGATTCACTTGTGATTAGTGATTATATATGAGCTTATTATTCGGTTAATATTTTGTTTTATCATTGTTTTTTCGTTTATCCGGTTTTTTTTCCTCATTTCATTGATTTTTCTTTATAATATCATTTAGATTATCTTGTTCTTTGAGTTTATTTTGTTTATTTGATTTATCTCTTTTGTTCAACACACACCACCCATATAAAACATTGATAGCAAGAAAAAAATAAATCTAATTTAACCCGTTTGCCTATAATCATAAATAAATTTCGTTGTAGGTTTGCTCAAAGACTATCTTCGTGAGCTTCCGGAACCATTATTCAATAAGGCCATGTTCGATATGATGGACGATGGTCTTAGTGTTTGTGTTCCAGATGATCCGGCCGGTAATGCTAAGCTTATGTTCTCCATACTGGAGTGTCTTCCTAAATCTCACCGGGTAAGTTGTATGCACGATACAACAACACGATTTGTTGGTTATATGAACAAAAGGATTAATTGATATACAACCAATTTTGATGTGTGTGTAGAATACGGTGTTATATCTGATGGATCATATTAAATTGATCCACATCAATTCCGACCGCAACAAAATGACCTCACAAGCATTGGCTATTTGTTTTGGGCCATTATTCTCGTGCCATGATCAATCTGATTCAGTGTATAAACCGATACAAGTGTTCAAATTTTTACTTGATATTTGGCCTCGCCGTAAAGGTTAGCAATTCATTTGATTTGCTTGAACATTTTGTTCATGTCTTTATATATTGTTATTATTGCATTAAAAAAGGAGCATTTAATTTGTTTAAAAAAATGGACGATGTTAATCAACAATCAATTGTGGATATTTCGGCTATGACAACCACAGCTGGTAGCACATCATTAAATTTGCCATCGAATACGACGACCATTACTTCCATTCGATCGCCATCATATCGATCGCCAATGGCCGATTTGACAAATAGCGTTAGCTCTGATCACCATCAAATACATCTTTACGATTCTCCACCTGATTCATCATATCGATTTCAGTCGAGTACTGGTTCACCAACTAAAATACCTTCAACGACAACAACAACGACTACATGGAGCAGCTCATTAATTACCAGCAGTACAACAGGTACAAGCAGTATTGGTGGTACTGGCCGTTTGTTACCATCCACTCAAAATGCTACACGAACCATATCCGCTTATTCATCGACAACCAATTCAGTATCCAAATATAAGGTTCCTGCCGGTTCAACCGGACCTTTAATTATAAATCCTGTTTCATCAAGTGTAACGGCTCCGATCACTACCACCAGCATTACTATAACATCATCTAGTCGAATTAGTTCGATTGATTCAATTCTATCATCACCATATCGATCACAGTATGGCTTAACAACGACGACCACGGCGACAACAACGACAAGCAGCTTGGATAATTCAACCAGTGGTATTCGTACATCATCTCATCGATTCACCACCGCTATGTCTGATTATTATAACAATGATTTTTCTGTGGGCAGTAGTAGCATATCTTCGCGTTCACCGTATTTATCATCCATACAAACGAATCAATATGGAGCTGTCGAAAGCGAAGTTATTGACCAGACATACAAAAAATATCTTAATCCATCGACAGCATCATCGACTTTGATTGGTTCAAGTGATGTAACAACTACATCCACAGCTTCTATAGTCACCGGTGAAGGACTGTATTCCACCGTTAATAAGCCATCATCATCGATTAGCACAACGAAACGATCCACATTGTTTGACGAAACGAATCGAACTAAGAATGATGATCCAATTGATTATAGCAGTAGTAAAGGTGGTGGTGTATTTTCACAATCATCCATCAGACATCGTTCATCATATCTAACAGATACTGATACATCATCATCATCATCTCCATATCATCATAATCATCAATCGCCTACAAAACCGCTTATAACTGGAACTGGGCCATCATCAACTCAGCTTTATCCATCTCGATTGAATAGCAGCACAACGAATAATTCATCGATTATAACTAGCTCATTTACGACCGGATATTCATCATCCATAGTTCCTTCCTCTTCATCGGCTCGTAATGTTGAAGATTTTGAATCGCTTAATACTTCTTCCAATAGTACAAGAAAGTTTGCCTCCTATACATCATCATCACCATTAACTTCAATGACCAATCATCATCAAGATAAAGATTTGTTTAGTGGAAATGAATATACAGCAACACCATCGTTGAGAAAGATGAATACCAACACCAACACAGCCACAAATAGCTCAATAATCTCAACGATCAACAATGATGATTTGAATTCGAACAAAACTCATTCATTATTCGATACAGGTGATAGTGGTGGAGTAACAACAACAACAACAACAACATCTGAAATGTATGGCCGATATCAAACATCAGGGGCCAGCAGTTCAAGACATTATTCTTCATCAAATGATTATCATCATCATAAAAATTTGGACATTGTCGATGATGATAATGTTCTTTAGGAAATGCAGAAAAATGAAACACTAGTTTGATATTTCTAGTTTTAAAAAAAGACTAAGTCTGCTTTTGTTGTTTTTATTATTTAGACACACACACACACAAACTCAAACACAACCAAAACATTTCGTTTATCTTCTTAAAACATGGTTTATTCCTGTTGCATGGGCTATTTATACACTTACTTGATGACACACAAAAAAAACATCCCCATTCTTTACAATAACCATTTTATCGTTGATCAGTGAATATTGACCTTTTATCATCAAACACACAATTGAATCGTTTACAAAACAAAACAAAACAAAAAAGTCGAATTTCATATTTATATAGCATTTTTCAGAGATTTGATTATTATTATTAAATTCTTTATTGACCTCTCTTACTCTTTCTCATCATTATGATAATAATAAAAATTGCTTGTTGTTGTGTGTGTGTGTGTGTGTGTACAATTCATCTTTGACTTGTTGGTACTGATTTTATTTTTCTATTTGACTTTTTTGTTTTTTCTCTTTTGGGTGATGATTTTTTTTGCCGTATTCCAACACCACCACCACCACTTTTAGATTGCCTTAAAGATAATTGTTCATCGATGATTGTTTCGTTTTGATTTTTATTTAATTGTTGATAAAATATGATAATTATGGTAATGATAATGATGGCCACAATGATTTCGATTATAATACTGAATCCGATAGCAATTAGTGTCCATAATCCACTTTTACTAGGTAGATTATTACAAAAATATCTTTGTAAAATCATGGTATTTGTAAAATAAAAATCAAATTCTTTTGAACATGTTTCTTCAAACATGGGTTTTTTTTCACGGACTTTTTGCACAAAAATACAATATAGATCATTATTGTAATATTTTTCTTCTTTACATAAACGATCAACACAATCACAAAATGTGAAAAAAGCACAACAATGTAATTCTGCTTGCAATGATAATGAATGTGGCCATCGTTTATTTGAGATCCATTGCATTTTTTCATGTTGACAAATCTTCATCACTTGAGTCATTGGTTTATTATTGAATTGATTACATAATGTCATTTGAAAAATGACCATTACCATTGTGGCCAGAATCAACAATAAATTGTTCATATCCACAAATGATAAACTGAAAATGGTTAACAGTTTTTATGCAATAATTTTTTCAATCATTATTAAATTATATTAAATTAGACGTATTTTCACATTGTGTATGCAATTCATTCAATAATGATAAGCCATTGATTGATTTGATTAGATTAATCAAAAAAAAAAAACGAAATCAATTTTGCCCCAATTAATTCGAAATTCATTATTTACACTGCTCATTCTAATAGTAATGTAAACATTGTATAATCATCAATTCAATTAATTAAATTATGAATTATGAATAGCCGTACGGTTGGAATCGTGTTATTTGGCCTATGTCAATGTTTTTTTCTTATTTTTCATGTTCGGTCAGTGTTATTAAAATGGCCTGATTACTTCTTAGACTACTGACCAAAAGTTACTGTTGATATATTGTAGATGCCAAATAATATTGGCCCAAAGCCAATTGAATCTGGATGGCCATGATCGATTCCTGTTATTATTAAATTCGACAACCACCGTGCCTTTCATATGGGTTAAATTGAGTTTATCGTTTTCAAAAAATTTCAATCACATTGTCCATGAAAATGAAATTCGTTCAGAAAGTAAGTCTACAATGTGCGTTTATTATGTTGATAATCATTGAATCCAATATATATTCATACAGAACCAATCGATGAATGGACATTACCATACGTATATCGGCCACAAGCATCAAACAAAATTAAATCGTCAGGTCCATTTGGATTTCAATTACGATTTGATTCGATATACATGAAACTAGTGTTTCAACAACCGAAACATGTCGAAGTTATTAAAGAATTCCAAATCGCTAAAAATTGGGGCCTTGGCTTCTTTCAAACCGATAAGCCAATTTATCGACATTCTGAATTGGTCAGATTTCGTTTGCTTCGCTTTAGTGAAACGACATTAACACCTAAAAATGATAATTGCCAATTGACCATTAAGGTTTGTGGGATTAATTTTATTAGATTTTCTTGACGATATATCAATTGAAATCACAGAATCAACAAAACATTAAAATGGAAATGGCTAATCTAACCTGTACAGCACCGGACTATTTTGCACAATATTCATACAAATTGCCAACACTTGCAAGTAATGGTCAATGGAAAGCTGATGTTGAATGCTCTGAGCATAAATTTAATGATCGTTTAACATTTGAGGTACGTGATTATGTTGCATCTAGATTTCGAATCGACATCGATACGCCTCGCGTACATTTATGTTCATCACCAGACGAACCGTTCATCATAAAATTAAAGGCAACATATACTTATGGTAAGCCAGTTAATGGATATGCTCACTTCAAGATATCGATCAAATCACCATTTAAGAATCGAGGTGGTTTTGAGCAAAAAAGTCAGGTGGCATGTTTGGATCAAACATCTGGCACGTTACGGCAATCAATAAAATTAGCATCAAATTTTTGCGAATATCAACCATTGCCACAACGGTTGGTGATAGAAGCAATCGTTACCGATTTGGCAACCAATCAAAAGGACATTGCAACAAGTGATCAAACGATTTTGGCCAATTTTCCATATCTTATCTGGACACGTTTCACAAGTCTAGTATATCGACCACAGTTAGCCAACTATCTGGCCGTATGTATAAATTGTGTCCAATAATCAATGATATTGTTGAAATTTAATTCCATTTCTGTCATTATAGTTTGAATTGACCGATCATGACAATAATCCAATATCTAATGTACCGATACAAATTCAGATGACCGATTCGAATGATCATAATATTCGGCCATACGTTATAACCGGTGATGGTAATGATGGTAATCACAATGTCATTCGAACCGATTCAAATGGATTGGTCATATTTACGTTTAAACTGGACAAGTTTGTCGGCCTTTTACAGGTTCGCATAAGTAGTCAAGATCCAAAATATAGACAAGAACAACAAACAATCAAACAATTGTCGCTTTTTCCATTTGATTATGTGGACCAGAACAAAGAAGATCACCGGCAACCGGTTATTCTCATATCGAATAAGAAACAAATGTGGTATACAGCCGGTCAACATTATCGATCGTCAATCGTTCATAATGGTCCCATTGATGTTGATCGAATTTATTTGATCATCATGAGACATAAATCCATCATTCAATTTAGCCGTATTGCTTCATCATCGCTAGCCATCGATATTCGATTGACCAATCAAATGACGCCATCAATCCGATTGCTCGTCTTGGCATTCACTCGATCCACTCTTCATCATGAAAGTCGCTTAGTAGCAGATTTCTATCGAATACTTGTACGACAAAATGATTGTGGTGTAAAGGTTAAACTCAACGATAACAACCTTGAGCCTGGTCAGAATGTGACTCTTACATTTAATGGCCATTTAGGCGATGTTGTAGCTTTGGCTGCTATCGATGAATCTATAGAGATATTGGCCTCAAAGAATATATCTTCATCTTCATTGAAACGAGACAAATCTTTACAGAGCATTTACAGACGATTCATACCAGATTTTGACCTGACCACATCAAAACCATATTATGCATCGGCTGATTCGATTTCATTGATCGAAAATTTCGGTTTGCGAATCCTTACACCATTGGCACAATCATCGACAGCACGTAATGGCCGAAATCGACGTTCTGTTCAATTAGAATGTAATCGGTTTGATAAACATCCATGCTGTCAACTTGCCCGTAGTAAATTCCGAACATGGATGTCATGTGACCAAAAAGTGGCCATACTCAAGAATCAATTAAATCAGGCTGCTGCTACTAATACTGACTGTATACAGGCTTTTTCCGCCTGCTGTGAATGTTCAAAAGATGAGCAAATGTTTCAGAAATTCTTTTCGCCCACACAAACTTTTTTTCCAACTTTTTATGGTAAGTTTCTTTGCGGGTAAAAGTGGATAATTTTTATTTACGAAATAATATAGAAACGCGAACTATTCCTATTTCTCCTATGGCACTATTCAATGATTATGATGATGATGATCAAAACCAAGCAATTAGACGTCATGATTTTCGTGATTCTTGGCTATTTAATGTATGGCCAATAAACCAAAGGTAGGATCGTGAATATTGTTCCAGATTTTTTGTTTGTCATCAAAATGGTTTGTTTCTTCACATAACATAGCTCGCAAACAATATCAATGGCTGTTCCACATTCTATTACTTCATGGATCATATCGTCCGTATCCATTTCGAATCAAGATGGTTTTTGTGTTGAATCACCTAATCAACGATTAACCGTATACAAACCATTTTTCATACAAGTTTCAATGCCAGCAACAATTGTTCAATTTGAAAAAACAGAAATATCTGCCACTGTATACAATTACCACAATAAATCATTAAGTACAATTGTTCATTTTTATCATGTGGATGGTCTTTGTTCTGATGCATATAGATCGTTGGACAAAGCACATCAAGAAGTGATGATAAGGGCCAATGGAAGTGAGACATTGATTTTTCCCATAATTGCCATTCGTATTGGTCAATTTCGTCTTCGAATACGGGCCAAATCGGGCAATTGGATGGATTATGTGGAGAAAGATTTAATCGTATTGCCACCCGGTGAAACAATGGAATATTCTCATTCAAGTTATTTAGATCCAACCAATCGATCGAAACGTAATGAACCATCAAAACGAGATATTAATGAAATGACTGAAATGATCGATGAGATATATCCAGAACGACAATATCAAAAAATTAACATATCATTTCATCCTGGTAATAATGATAACATTGTTCCCGAAACGATTCATCACCGATTGTCGTTGATTGGACGTCGATTTGAACCGCAACTAAAATCTCCAGAAGAACTTTCTCATTTAATACGAAGACGAAAAAGTTGTGGTGAACAAACGGCATTTTTTATGGCATTCAATTTGCATACGTTGCATTATCTACAAGAAACCGGTCGATTGAATCGAACATTACGTAAACGTGGCGTTCGACTTCTGAAACGATCATTGGCCGATCTCATTAGCTATAGAAAACCAATGGATGGATCATTTGCGGCATTCATTAATCGAGAATCATCTGTTTGGCTTACTGCATTCGTAGCCAATTTGCTTTGTCAATCAGAACAATTTCTTGGTGGTGAATTTGATGCCAATTTGCTATCCAAATCGTTGAATTGGATCATGAGACAACAATCAATTTCAGGTAGTTGGTCCGAATCGACACATATTCATCATCGTCATGCTGATGGTGGCAGTAATAGTGATGACGATACGCTCACCGCATTCATATTGATTTCCTTACATAAATGTGATTCATTCATGAAAATGAATAATTTTAGCGACACAATACAGACTAATTGGTCGATAGATTATGCAAAGGCCAATCGAGAAGGCTCTCAGTATCTGTTGGATAAAATTTCTCGAACCGATCATTCATACAAAATAGCCATCATTTTGTATTCGTTACTATTATCACCACCATCATTGTCATCACCGAATATTGATGGCAACCAATGGATGAAGCGTTTATTACTACATCCGGATCGTCATCAAGATGGAAAACTTAATCACATGTATTACGATGCAGGACCATTGTCTGTTGAAACCAGTGCCTATGCTCTATTGGCTTTAGGATGTTTGTCCGAAGGTTACATTGAAGAACGTCACATGTTGGCTAATTGGCTTTCGGCCCGTCCATTATATGGTCCGGTCGAGAAAACACAAGATACATTGCTTACATTGATAGCTTTGTCTGATTATTATCGTTCATTGTGGTTTTTGTTATCATTTGAAAACGAAAATAGTATTTACTATCAACTACAGGCAAATATTTCGTTTGGTCATCGATCATCCGGTCATCGTGAACGACGTTCAATCCAATTCCGGTCAGATTCAATTGATCGATTGCATACGATAGATATGGATGGTCAATATGTAGATCATATCGAAATAGAAACCATGGGTAATGGTGTTGGCCGATTCGAATTGCTAACCATTTATAATGTTTATGACCCAACACGTGTGGAATCGGAATGTCATTATGAACTGAATGTACAACTATTCGAATACGATATTTATCATCATCATGAAAAAAAAGATGAAAGCGATTTCACTGATTCATCCTTTTTCAGTGATGAATTGCAACAATCACTGCAAATCGAACAGCTACCTAAATCATTACAACATATGCAATTTGAAAAAATGAAAAATATTTGTCAGTCTAAATTGCCTCCAAAAACAATTAAAAATGATCACGATGGCAAAAGTGGTGCTCGTATAAAAAAGTGGCAATGTGAACAGAATTTTCAAAATTCTCCATTACCAACAATACTTGGTCCGATTGAGAATCCGATCATCAAAATAATACGTGTTTGTACCGTGAGAAGGCACTCTGATTCTCATGTGATCATTAATGATAAAATGGCCATTCTTGAGTTGAGCATTCTGAGTGGCTATCGGGTAATTGAAGAAGATCTTGCCACATTAATAAATGGTTCCACAACGATTCATTGGTATGAAGTTGCCGGATCTAAAGTTACATTCTATTTACGGCAAGTGCCTGAAACCTATAGATTATGTCTTTGTTTCCGAATCTATCAACAGAATCCTGTCGAATACATTCAATCGGCTTTGGTTAAGATCTATAATTATGGTCAACAAGGTAAGATAATATCAATCACAAATATATTATTATCTTTATAAAAAATCTCTTTTTCAAAATAATTATCTCATCATAGGATCGGATTGTCAACAAATGTATACGGATACTAATATCAAACGATTTCTTAACTATACCTGTAATGATAATTATTGCCAATGTTTGATTGAAAATCGTTGTACACGTTTTGATCTATTTCAACGTATTGAACATGAATACTATGAAAATTCATTACGTGGATTTGAAATGTTCAAAACGATTGCTTGTACATATCGATTTGTATTAAAAGCTACCGTACGATTTCAGCACTCATTGAATACTAGCAATGGCAATACAAGTCTTACATTGACCATTGTTGATGATTCATTACAAATCATACGAAAACCGGATGGATATAAACCCGAATTATTATCCGGTTTACTATTACGTTTTGAGGATCCATGTCATCATCTTTCTATTGATAGCCGAATCCTTCAACTAGCTAATTGGCCAACTTTAATACGATTTAAAGCTTGGATCATGTTTAATGAGATAATTTTTATTCAATCCTCATCTCCATCATCATTAGTACGAATGGATGGCCAGACATTGTGGCATATGATTGACATTGACGAATATTGGCGAATGTCTGATGATCTAATCGCAATGCTTGACAATGAAGGCCAATTACAATGCCATTGATTTGCCAGAAAAAAAAAAAAAAAAACAATGAAACAAAACCTCTTGTTGTGTCCATTTTCTTGGAATTAAATCAACATCAATCATAAATAGATGTATTATAGTTTGCCTTAACATTAATATATACTGTGAATCCTCATTAATTACGATGTTGTTCAATGTGACAAGACGTAATAAAAATTTTGGCCATTTTTTTTTCTAAAAACATAAATCCTCAAACTACAAATTATTTGTGATCGCAATTTAAATGAAAAAAGATCCTGTACATATACTGTACTGAAACCATTATCAATAATTTAGGTTAATGACAAATATTACATTGTAGCTTATCAAAATGTAGCGGTATCATCATCGATAATGCGTAATTAAATAAAACTCCTATTTATAGCCTAGATCCAATCAGTCCAAATAGATCAATATAATATCAATAACAATTCGATTTTATTTGATTTGTTGATTAATTGCTTTACTTTGATCAATGGTTATTGTTAGTTATTTTTTTATTTTATTTTAGTGACAACTTATTTTTTTTCAGAAAAACAATGGGAAATTTTTGGTCAAATTGGTTCGAACATCAAACTAGACCCAATGATGACGACCATTTGGATCAGCCCAGATGGTTTGGACATTTACCGCCACCACATCCGATAGATTCAATCGAGCCTACATTAACTTTGTATGATCGGAACGGTACTAGCATTGAAATTGATCATACACAACGTTTGGATGATGCTATCGATATGATTCGTTCATGCGACTGTTTCAATCATTCATACGGTGATCAACGTTTAATTATCTTGACGCATGGATTTCGTAGTGATAAACACACCGAATGGTTACATGAATGTAAAAATACCATACTCGATATTGATAGTGAATACAGTAGCCAACAATGGCAAGTAGTCGCCATATTAGGTTGGGGTGGTGGTGCCGATATAGGACTAATCCAATATCAACAAGCGGCGGCAAATTGTTTCGAGGTAGGAAAATGGTTCGGCAATTTTATAAGCCGATTTCGCGAAGAATTTCGAAATGTTGCCATCTATGGTATTGGACACAGTCTTGGTGCACATCTAATGGGAATGGCTGGCCGTATTAATCATGGGAATTTTGACCGTATCACCGGTCTCGATCCAGCTGGTCCTGGATTTCAAGATGAAAATCATGATAAACGATTAAATAATAATGATGCAATCATGGTCGATGTTATACATACGGATGGTTTAGAGATTCCATATTTTGGAACATTAGTCCCATTAGGAAAAATTGATTTTTATCCAAATTATGGATGGGATCAACCATCAACCGATGAACGACCAGATGCTAAACCAATGATGGCACGTAATCCCTTGAACAATAACAAAATGATCAAATCTAGTAATCAATATGGTTACAATGTGTCTGAATCACATAGTCGTGCAATTGAATTCTACATATGGTCCATACGAAATCCAGGCCGATTTCGTACACATTATCATCTGGAACGGGCACCGGATGTGGAAAAAGGTGTACATAGAATTCGATCTATACAACCGGATATCGGTGTCGAAGTTGAAATGGGCTATCATATGGATACATTTATCATAAATCATTTACGTTCGAAATGCGCTGTAAACATTAAACGTAATGATGATAAACAATCATCAAAAGAATTATGGAAAACAATGGTAAATGATCGAAAATATTGGGGCAATTATTATGTTCATACGAATGCTCAATCACCTTGGTGTTGATTATCAATACATTCGATAAATTGAATGGTATAACCATATGCAGTAATGTAATGTTTGTCCCCTTAATAACAAAAAAAAACTATTTGTTTTTTGTTATTGAATAATAACATTTTTTATTTTAATTTTTTTCCAATAAATGATTATCGATTATGTCATGATAATTGATCGATATATAGTAGTTTTTATAAATTTAAAAAGCGAAATCCCCGGTACATATATACACAGTATTTTAATAGCCATAGCCATCGGCATTGTAAGTGTATCTCAGTGAACATTTAAACATTAAAAATGTGCTACAAAAAAAACAAATGATGAGAATAATAAAAAGAATGCTTTTTTTTGTGTGTTTGTAAAATGCGCGCGCACATTTAAAACGCGCGTAAAATTCTTCGATGTTCATCGATGATCAACAACACGAAGGGGTGGAGCAGATTATAGCCTTATTACGAGCGCTATTTACCGTGCTTTTACACACACACACACACATGTGTGCGCGTGATTCGTGTTCTGGCGCGTAAAATTTACCGCCAAAACATTTCACATTCATTCACATTCAACTTTCATCATTTACACGACACTACGATGATCATTTCATTTGGTTCATGTCTGTCGATCAATTGTGAACAAAAAAGAAATTCTTTTTTCTTCCATTTATTATTTGTTTGAATGCAAGTTTGTGTTGATTATTGGAAATTAAAAATCTACATTTAAATTTAAATCGTAATTAAAATGTCATCAACAAATCCAGCATTCGTTCATCATCATGATCATCATTCATCGAATTTTATCGTTTATCATCATCCAAATATAATTACGACAATTCAACCACATAATTCATCACCAATAATTCATGCTCATCATTATAACCCGAAAAATTCTGCGATAATGTTATTATCCAGTTCGAATGAAGAAAATACAATTTCAATATCTGAATTATCATCACCCGATTATTCGGATTCTGGTACATATCATCCCAGACAATGGGCTGAACATGCTCATTCTATTCGTTTATCATCATCACCCGATCGTACTGGTGCTCATTCGCCATCAGATCTGGCATCATCACCGATACGATCATCACCAATTTTATTTTCACCACCACCTCCAAAACAATCCACTTTTCAACAAAAACAATCTTCATCCATTTCTGTTGATCGTTCCTTTTTGAATGAAAAATCGGATATTCAATGCGAAAATAGACAGCGATCAGACAATATGTATGTTACACCAATGAAAAAATCCATATCATCAGATTCAACAACACCACAAACACAGAATTTAAAACGTGGTCGTCCCCGTAATGAGGATATTTCCAACCTTATTCTATCTGGATCAAATTCACTATCATCGATTAAATGCGATATATGTCATCGTGTATTTCCAAGAGAAAAAAGTCTACAAGCACATCTTCGTACACACACAGGCGAAAGGCCATATCGTTGTGATTATGTTGGCTGTGGCCGAGCATTCGCACAATCCGGTCAGCTACGTACCCATCAACGTTTACATACGGGAGAAAAACCATTCATATGTCGACAACGTGATTGTCATAATCGTTTCACTCATCCTAATCGCCGATGTTCATTACATCCATCGGCTGGTGTTCGACGTATCATACCTGTTCAACCGGTTATTGGTTTTGGTGGGAATAAATCGACAAAAAAGGCTTCTGTTATCAAGAATATTAACGATGATAACAATCAATCAATAATGGCTTCCACAAACAATATTAACAATGACGATAATAACAACAACAGGTTGGACAAGTCCATAGAATTGGCGCCATTATCACAACCGATTTCTTTTACATTATCATCATCATCGAATGTATTACAACAACAACCAGTTGTTGTGGCACGAAAAACTGTTATCAATCATACTGGACGAGCAAATATTTCAAGAAAATTAGACGCTGAATTAAGCGCTGTTGCTGTTGCTAATTTTAATGCTGCGGCAACTATAACACCGACAATTGCCGCACCAACGTCGCCGCCACCACCACCACCACCACAATCGGATATCTGTAATGATGAAAACAATCCCGAATTATTGGGAGCATTAGCGTTGATGGAATTGGCTAATGGAATTTTGAAAAAATCTACCAACACTGAAAATATTCATCCTAAATTCGATTCTGAGAATCAAATTAAACACGATGATGCTTATTTGAAACGGACGAAAAGAATTCTACAAAGTATTCAATTAAATTAAACAAACAGAATCGTGTGATTGGTGATTAAATTGTCTACACTAGATGAAAAGAATCAACGTTTTCTTGATTTAAACAAGAAAAAAAATCCCGGTTTACCGTGGTCATTTTTTACCTTTACACTTAAATTTGGTTATATTTTTTTCGAACCAATTCATAAATTTTTTATTCAAATCGAAATTATAATTTTTAATTTTTCATTTTTTTTTTTTGAACAATAATAAAAAAAAGAATTAAATTCTTTCTTTCATTTTCTACACTGTTTGCATTTGTTGATTTTTATTCATATTGACCATTTCATCACCATTTGTTTGCGATTTTCCTGATCGTAATTTTGATAAAACTGATCCAGTTTTAAGGAAATTTGTTCGATGATCAAACGATCGTAATGTTTTCAATAATTTTTTATCCTTAAAGAATAACAATAATAATCCAATTGTTGGTGCTTCAAATGTTAAATGTAAAAAATAACCAATTATAATGGCACTAAGTAAAGTTGCGCTAATCACTTTAAGTATATCGGTCCAATTGGCCATCGATACTGGATCACGTACTTGATGTGCCATAAACCAAATGGTCATCAAATGCGATAAATATAATGAAAATGATAGCCGTGATATTGGTTTGAAAAAATTGGCCGATAATATACTCGATATGATCATTCGTGGTTTGATGGCACATTGATAAACAAGCCATGTGTTCGATAATGACCATAATAATACCATTATAGCAAAATTAATCGCATTCAATGTAGTTCCATCACCACTTATTTTCATTTCATTCGATGCAAAAATGTATGATGCAAACGGTATGGTCACCAGGAATAATGTTGAAAATGACCAAATTAGAATCTCTTGCCACTGTTTGTAAAAAAAAATTAATTTTAATAACAACAATGATGATCATCATTCGAACCTTGGTAAATTTGATTGGTCGATTTTCAAGAATAACAAATCCAATAGCACAGCCAAGAAAATATGGTATAAATTGCATGAAACAGGCAAAATAAATAAATATTGTCGAACCATTTGGAAATCTGATTATGAAAAAAAATGAATACAGATGTCATTGGAATATTTTACATAGAAAAATCATCATAATCTTTAATTACTACCTGTGTCTTGTATACATAATCACTTGTATTAAATGATGTTTGCCCAATCCAGCCGTAATTGGTATGATAATCGCAACAATACCGATAGCTACGAAAATCCAACAGGTTGCCATTGTTAATCGTTGACTTCGTGTATACAATACTAATAGAATAAAGGCAATGATATGAATCTGTAGATCCGCTGCTAAATACCAAGTGGATATATTACACTACCGAAAAAAAATCAATAGATAAGTTCAGTTATTCTTAATAGTTATTTTTTGACTATTTACCATATCTTCTACAGGAATATAATTGCTAAAATAGAGAAGATGTTTCCACCAATTCTCATAACATGGTCGCAATGTAGGCCATAGAATATCATGATGAAATAACGGGCCGTTACCAAACGCTTCTAATCCTATATTCAAACAGATCAAACCGATCAATGGCGGTGTTAATCGAATCCATCGTAACATGACATATGGAACGAATTCAACTTTAAGTTTCTGCGATGAAGCGCTTAGATATGTGGAAAGAAATCCACTGATGACAAAAAATGTCATCACCACTAATGCACCATTATAGAATGGTTGAGCAATAAAACTTTTCGATATCTCTATTGCATCGGTTGGAAATCGTGATATGACTGAAACGGGCATCAATGTTGGCACCAATACTAATCCACCGGCATGAGCAAACATTATGAAAATGGCAGCAATCGCTCGTATACCATGTATAAAACGAAATTCTTGCCGTTGTGTGGATGTTTTAGTTGGCTGAATTTGGAACAAAAAACGATTATTTTTGATCAACGAAAAACAAAGTAGAATTTTGTAGAGATATGAATAATTTTTGTCACCAAAAATGAATTCCAAAATCGTTGCAGGTATGATCAATAGCCAAGGTGTGAGTAAAATTGCCCAGGCAAGACGAAGACCAAAATTATATTGCCGTGGCTGATCATTCGATTGACAATACGTGACATTGAAATGCATCGTTTGTAGAAAATCATAATCTATTTTCAAAGAAAAAAATATGAATCTCAATGTTGCCAGTATCGATTCGATTGATTAATCTTACAAGAGAGCAACAATTGTCTAATTTCGTTCTCATTACAGATGGATGGAAAACAAATTGCACTAGCCATTGAATAATAATTATCATTCTGATACCATTGTTCAATGTAATCGATCATCCATGAATGATTTAATGTGGATTGATTAATAGGAATCGGATGTTGGAATTGATCAATACGTGGTAGATTTACGGTGGCCAAACAATATTTACCCACAAATTCCTGTTGTTGGAATTCACTTCGTATAGATAGACATTGATCAAAATCACCCAATTCGGTTGTTGTCCCAGAAAGAATACCAATAGGTCGATTTAAAACACCAGAATCGATCACTGTAATGAAAAATATGAATGATTCATATTAGCGAACAAAAAACAATCATACTTTTAGCCGTCCATTCATGATCTACCGGATGACCAATCATGTATTCCACAATGTTCAAACATTCAGATTTGATCTTATTCTGTAGATTATCGCGACGAACAATTTTTTTGAATCGATCTATGGTGGCCAAATTACTTTCTTCTAAATGACTTTGTAATAACATGGTAATATTTTGCCAATAATCATCGAGATTATTGGCAATGAATATGGATAAATCATCTTGTGCGTTTATTCGTCGACCAAGATCGGACCGGATTCCCATAAGAATGCAACTGAACAAAATCAGGCCAATATAAAACAAACGGAATTGAATCATTGTTTCCCGATTGATGTTGTTCACTACCTGGTGTTAAGATCATCTCACGAATAAATATTAAATCAATATGGAATGATTTTTCAAACTTTCACGGAAATTATCTTAAAAAATAGGCTCGTGAAGGTTAAGATCATGAACAAAACTTTTTAACCACTTTTAAATAGTTTCTCGAATCGATTTTGATTATCGATAAAAAAAAACAAATGCAACGCATATGTTTAAAAATATGGGGTCCATTCACTAATTCTGTGGCATTTAAAACATACAGTGTCAAAAAAAACCATTGAATTTTATTTGAGTAATAGTTTTCTTGTCCAAGATGATGGTTAAATGGTCTAAGGTGATAATGTTAATTGACAAACACACACACACACACACATTGATTTATCGATGCTAATTAAATTTCAAACACATAGATATTCAATTTGACAAATTACAAAGTACAAATTGAGAAAAAACAAATGAATTTTTTTTTTCATTATTTATTGACCTTGAACGTGTATCGATTCATACCAATAAAAAGAAAGAAAAAGATTTAAATGGAAGTGTTTGGTTTGGTATATTGTGTGTGTGTGTGTGTGTGTGTAAACAAAACCGGAAGCTCTATTGCTCGTCATACGAACCTAGAAAAAAGTGAAAATAAAAACAAAACAAAATTGTTTGGCCCTAAAATCATAGATTGTCATATATATTATTCATCACTAAACTATGTGTGAATGAATTGAAATGTTTTTTTTTAATTAGACGAGCAAACAGTAAGAGAAAAAAAAATTTGGAAATTTTCTGCATGTAATAATAAAATGAGAAAATTGATTGATCATCAATTCATTGTATTTTAGCGGGTGTAATTGACAATTGAATGGAAAGATAGGTGTGTGTGTGTGTGTGTGTGTGTGTGATGGCGTTTATAATATTATTATTATCTTCCATGCCGATATATTATGATATATGTTTAACTGTATTGTTGAATGGCTTCACGCAATTTTGGTTCACTGGCACCAGAAAATGAATGAACCTTTTGTTCATTCTTAATCAATACAAATGTAGGCATCGATGTTATACCATATTCACTGGTCAATTCCTGTATATGAGAGAGAGAGAGAGAGATTGGAAATGAAAGGAAACATACAAATAAAGACAAATCAAACATACTTCATTTTCATCGACATCGACCTTCAAGACGACCAATTTTTCTTTATTTTCTTCAGCCAATTTTTCCAATACAGGTGCAATAAGGCGACATGGACCACACCAAGTGGCATAAAAATCGACGACAACCAATTTATCGCCAGCATCTTTCAATTGTTTTTTCATATCATCCTAAATGGATTTCAATTATCAAGATGATTATCAAAACATATCATAGGACCATACCTTATCAGTAACTTTGTGAACCATTTTTGGACGATTTTAATTTTTTTGAATATAAACGGAATGGATGAATGGATAACTGGTCGATTCGAAATATTTGAAACAAAAACACAATTAATATAAAATTGAAACAGCCACATTTAAATACACAACAACAGCAATGAAAATTCGAATTATGGCAATAAATTCATTTCTCATTTTCAATCATTCCGAATAAAAAAAAACTTACCTCAACTTTTCAACAATGATATCAATAAATATCAATAATAATGACTAAGTCAGTTTGTCGTTAGACTAAAATGGTACAACGATATTGATTACAATCAACTTGTTTTTTTTTTTGCCGTTGTTGTATAGAGTAGTTGGCGTTACTATAGATTGATGATGGTGATGATATCGTCCAAATTTTGTTAGAGAAAAAGATCCAAATCGTAGAAGTAGTCACTGAATCTCTATCTATTTAATGATGATAATTATATGATGATGAGAATGATAATGGTATGGCCAACGAGAAAAAATAACTTTTAATCATTTGATTGGCAACAGTGTTGAGTGTTTGCGTATGTGTTTGTTTGCTCTGAAGATGAAGATGGAGAAGCGGCAAACGTTAAAGTTACCATGATGATTACACGCGTTTTTTCTATTTCTCTTAATTTTCCTCAACACATGCGCAGTCAAAATAGCCGGTATATATTCGAAATAGTTGTATATTCAATATTGTTGTTGTAAACAAATTATGACTGGCGCCACATACATAGTGTGGGTGTGGTTGTCATTATGTATGCAAATGATGTAATCATTTGTCATTATGATGATCTTTTTATTTCTTTCAATTTGGAGGAACTACAAGTCAACACCCACGCTTCACACCCACCTCTATCGAAACAAAAATCCAACAGAAGGAACAATTCTCTTGGATTTTTGTTTCAAATAAAAGATTTTGTAATTTTTTTTCTATTGTTTTAATGGCAATAGACCAATCAATAATTGCCATAATCATAATAATTTTATGTATGCGAAATTTGAATTTAAAATCGATTGCGGAAATGTCTAAAAGTAAGAAAAGAAAAAAAACTTTGCGTGCTCGGTTTGTGTTTTTTTTTACAATATTGTAATACAAACATTATTATATATGACGAGCCTATTCTAATTTCAAGTGGCGTTTTTTTTCTCAATTTGATGATTTGGCTTCAAATTTAGGCCCAGACAATCTAACATGTGTTTTATCTAATCTCGTGAAAAGGCTTGATTTCATCCTTTTTAAAAATAAAAAAGTTATATGCAATGAAATCAAATTGAAAAAAAACCTTTGGAAACATTTTGAGTGGAAATAGTGGCCCTAGAAAAAAAAGCTAAAGTCGAAGACAGAGCAGCACACTCGCACACACACATATGTCCAACAAGCTCAACAAATAAATGAATGATGACTAAAAATCCAATGGCTAGAGTTTATTAGATAACTTTGGCATTTCTATAATATTTGTAGAGACTTTTTTTTTGGTTGTCTTGCGCCTCATGAGTTTATCGTTTTGGATTAATCGGATAAAAATCCGCCGCCATCATCTACATCATCATTTTTATCGATCCATAATCCTATCATCCTTGTTTCGATCAAATTTGAGCACATCATCAACCTCATTATCATCAAGGTTGAATGTATTTAGTGGTGTAGTCTCATCGACATCATCAACATCAAGATCGTCAGCAACTCGACTTATTTCTTGTTCTTGTTATTCACATAGTAGTTTGCCATCCACTACATTCTCATTTCTATCACCACCGACAACAAAAACAACAAAACGAGTCGTTTCCAAAGCCACGAACAGTCATAGTAGCCACATTAATAATAGTACCATTTCAATTTCACCATTACAACCACCACAACTAGCACGTTGTTCGTTATCATCATTGTCTTCGTCTTCGTCGTTGTGTCCGAATCATTTTCATTTGGTCGCCACTACAAATTCAAGCCAATTGCATACGGCAAACAACATTCGACGTGAGCATTTTATCACATCGACAATAAAAACAGACGCCGATTATATTATAAATGAAACAATAGTCAAACATCGATTTCGATTGTTAATTAATTTTCTAATCAGTTGGAAATTATCTCGACCACCACCACAATCATTATCATTTTTATTTCCATCGTTATCATCTTCGATTGTGGTAGAAAAATCCTCATCACCAAAAACATTAACCACGGGTGCTTTTCATTCATTAATCACAAAGGGAACAGCCGGATCGGCATCATCAACATCAAGATCATTGTTCCCAAAACGAAACGGTGGTAAAGTTGCATCATTACGTGAAACATTTTCTAAACGTTTTTATTCAAGTTCAACAACGACTACAACCAAAATAATGGCACCAATTGGTATTGATGATAAAACTGAATATGATTATGATCTAATTGTCATTGGAGGTGGATCTGGTGGTCTTGCTGCAAGTAAAGAAGCTGCCGCTTTAGGTAAAAAAGTATGTATGCTTGATTTTGTTTCACCCACACCACGTGGTACATCATGGGGCGTTGGTGGTACCTGTGTAAATGTTGGTTGTATACCGAAAAAATTAATGCATCATGCTTCATTGATTGGAGGTGAGATTGATGATGCTCATTATTTTGGCTGGCAAACAAAAAATGGTGAACCATTGAAAGATAATTTGAAACATGATTGGTCAACATTGGTCAACTATGTACAGAATAATATAAAAGGATCGAATTTTTCTTATCGAGCGCTGTTGGCTACACAACAAGTAAAATATTTAAATGCATGTGGATCATTTGTGGAACCAAATAAAGTACGAATTGTTCATAAAAATTCAAAAGAAGAATTTCTTACATCAAGAAATTTTATCATTGCCACTGGTGAACGACCTGTTTATCCTACCGATTGTGAAGGTGCCGAACAATATGCAATCACTTCTGATGATCTATTCTCATTGCCTTATAGTCCTGGTCGTACATTGGTTATTGGTGCTTCATATGTTGCATTGGAATGTGCTGGATTTTTACGTGGCCTTGGTTATGACGTTTCCGTCATGGTAAGATCGATCGTATTACGTGGTTTCGATCGTCAATGTTCCGAACATGTTCGTAATTATATGGAAAATTATGAACACGTCAAATTTATCGATCGATGTGTGATGAAAAAGATTGAAGAATTACGTAAAAGTGAAAATGGTGAAGCTCCATTGTTACGGGTTACATATCAAAATTTAGAAACGAATGAAAAAATTACCGATGAATTCAATACTGTTATGTTTGCTATTGGCCGTAGACCATGTACGGATAAAATTGGATTAGATGTGGTTGGCGTTGAATTGGATTCGAAAGGTTATATACCGGCCATTAATGAGCAAACGAATGTGCCACACATCTATGCCATTGGTGATATATTACAAGGCAAACCTCAATTAACACCTGTGGCTATTGAAGCTGGTGTATTATTGGCACGACGATTATATGCTGACCATCAAGTTAATTGTGATTATATCAATGTACCAACAACTGTTTTTACACCCATTGAATATGGATGCTGTGGCTATACTGAAGAGGAAGCAATCGATAAATTTGGTGCCGATGATATTGAAGTTTATCATCAATATTTTACACCAACAGAATGGAAACTTAACTATTATGATCGACCACGTAAACCAATGAATGTATGTTATGCCAAAGTAATCACTACCCGTTCAATAGATGGTGATCCAAGAAAAGAAACATTGCTTGGTTTTCATTTTGTTGGACCAAATGCAGGTGAAGTAATACAATTTACACCATTTCCATTGAAAATGAAGGCAACAAAAGCCGATCTTGATGCATTGATTGGTATACATCCAACATGTGCCGAAATTTTCACCATGTTACCAATCAGTAAACGTAGTGGTAAAGAAGCTACACAACAAGGATGTTGTGGTTAGACATTATTAATTAATTTATAATTGTTTTTTTCCCCAAATACAAAAGTACAAAATTATAATGATTCGACTGTCTGTCTGTAATTTATAATAAATTTGAAATAAAAAACAAAACAATGAATTCTATATCCATTACATATATACTGGTTTTTTTCTGAACAATAAAAAAAACTGATTATTGTCCATTTTGATATTCAAAATATATTTATTTTCAAACTAACAAACAAAAAACACTTTTTTTTCTCATCTAAATAAATTGAGAATATATTTGAGAAATGAAAACAAAAAAAAATGAGATTGATTGGATTGGAAATCTTTTCAATGCTGTTTTTTTTTTTGATTGCATAGTTTTTTTTATGATGATGATAGTCCACATTATCAATTCACATGATGTCATATGATTGCACACGAGGCTCATTTAATCAATTTTGGCTTAATGAAATTGTGGATATCTATTTATCGTTTTTGTCGCTATGCAATTTCGAATTTTGTGAAATTTCCGTTTGCTAAATGTATTGCATTTTATAGTATGATGATGATGATGATGTGATAAATCAAATGTCAATGAATATAGACTGTTTGTTTTTTTCATCATCCTGTAAACATGGAAATGAAAATTCAATTTAAAAATTTGTTACAACAAAAAAAGGTCAAAACTGCAAATATTTGATGACAAATAGTGGATCCAAATGTTTTTTCATTTGTATTTCAACAGAGTCGAAGCAATTCTAGCCGTTCACTGTTATTGTTGATTAAAGATGAGATGAGATGGCAGAAAATTCTAATTTTAGAATACCGTTCTTCTTTGGACTCTTTATGCTGGTGCTATATATGATTGATTTTTAGCCGAATGTTTGTTTCATGTTTTCACTTTGCTTCTACCAATCTTATGCTTTCGATTCGGTATGCAAACGAATTCTATTGTTTGCGAAAAACGAAAACGAAAACGAAAGCAGCAATAGAAACACGTTTTCCGGTAAAAACCATATAGTGTGATATTTGGTTAAAATTTCATCCAAAATGTCTTCGGTAAGTTTAATGTAAATTGTTTTTTATTTTAAAATAATAACACTGTATTTATGGATCAATTAGGATTCAGTTTGTACCATTCGAACTCGCAAATTCATGACGAATCGTCTATTGTTTCGACGTCAAATGGTAAGTCTGATGTAACAGTTTGTCCATTTAACTAAATCATTTCATTTATGTAGATTGTGGATGTATCACATCCGAATAAAGCAACACCAGGCAAACAAGAACTACGGGAAAAGATTGCTAAAATGTACAAAACTACACCAGATCTAGTGTTTTGTTTTGGTTTTCGTACACAATTTGGTGGCGGTAAAAGTACTGGTTTTGCTCTCATCTACGATACATTGGATCATGCAAAAAAATTTGAACCAAAACATCGTTTAGTAAGAAATGGATTGAAAAAAGTAGAAAGACAAGCACGAAAACAACGTAAAGAACGAAAGAATCGAATGAAAAAAGTTCGTGGTACTGCCAAAACTAAAGTTGGTGCCGGTGCACAGAAAAAGGTTAGCTTTTTTTTATTGTCATTCTATCACATTCAAACGTTAATCGAATTTTTTTTTTTTTTGTTTATTTTTTTTTTATTTTTCATGTCAGAAAAAATGAGCCAAACCGGAAAAGAAATTCAAGACATATTATATGTACAATGTACTCAAACACCATATAAACTATTTCATTTGTTTTTTTTTGCATCTTTAGTGCATAGAATTTTGCTACGAATATAACGAATAATTCTGTATATGTAAGAAGTAATTCAACAATCAATTACTTGGGTGCTCATACTAGTCATCAGACATGTTTTTTAATTTGTTTGTTTCTCAAACATGAATGACACTTTTCAAATGATCATCAAACGACTACGAAACCATCAACAATGTTGTATGAAAAGTTGATTGATTATGAATATGGACAACAATATTTCATTTGTAGTTTTTGAAAATTAAAAAAAATGACCACAAATTATTGTTGGTCGATTGTGCTTGATTCTGAATTATTGCGTTATTTCAAAAATTTCACTAATTCTGTACAATGTGGTTAACGATGGTCATCTCGGAAATTGACTGAAAATTCGAAATGTTTGAATTTTTTTTCAGTGTTAGTTCTTTTTATGCCATTAGATGGCAGCATTTTTCATGATACGATCAAAAAAAATTGCCGATATGTTTTTTATTGATAAATAATGGGCGTCAAGTGTTTTTTGGTCAATATTTCTAACTTAAAAAAAATAAGATAAAAAATGAAAAAAAAACAATGGAATATGATATCTGATTATTATAAAAAATGATGGAGGAGAAAGCCAAATGAGATGATTTAAATATTAATAATACAATCATTAAGACATCATTCTCATCAAAACAACAGCAATACTGGCGTGATAATAATGATGATGATTCTGGCTATGGATATTCGGTGATATAACTTACACTGTGATACGAACAATAGACACAGAACATCACTCCATAAACAAATGTATAAATTATACTACTACTACTACTATTCCATATCTGAGTAATGATCATTGTAACAAATGTTATAACATGTCTTAAATATCGTCCATTTCTTCAATTTCAACTATTCACAACGATTATCAAAACTAATGAACAGATGAACATCAATTGACACAATTTATTATTTACACAGAAATTGATTTAAAAAAAATTATATTGACGAATCACCACTAGATGGCATTACCGGTATCAGTATTGATTATAAACAGAATCCATAAATCAATGTGTCTTTGTTTTACATATTTAGATCCAACAAAAACAAATTGTTTCAAATTTCAAGAAAAAAAATGCAAAGAATCCATTCAATATGGTTTTATTAATGACAAGCTCCAAAAAAAAAAAAAAAAAAAATAAGGAAACAATCTCAGAACCATTAGCATAGAACGATGAAAGTTCTGTGTGTGTGTGTGTGTAATGAATGTGATATTCGTTTATTTATAATTAATAATAATCATGTATAATAACAGAGAATAAGTCCCCAGATAAAGAAAAAAAAGACGGTTTTAAATGATCGGACAAGAACAAAAAAAAAAAATGCAAGTTGAGTGTATATGTCGTCGTCGTCATCATCGTTTGTTTTGTTTTGTTTTGGTATACTGGTTTGGTGATTAACGAAATCATCATCATCATCATCATAATCAAGATCAGGGATGCTTGCTTGCTGAGTCTCATCGATTACAATCTTTTTTTCTGTTTTCTGTTTTTTTTTGTTTTGTTTTTATTTTTCTTATTGTCATCATTGTTCAAACTTTGGTTGAATCGGCTAGTCTCATTCACATTGAAACGAATTATTATAATCAAACAAACAAACAACCATTGAATGATATGAGGAAAGAAACATAATTTTATCCGGTTTTTTTTTCATGGACTTTTTTTTCACCACTTGAATCTTTAATTTATATCTTTTTTTCTTCTCCTATTATTCTCTATTCTATTTCATATGTTCGAATAATTCGACTTATAGAATGATGATGATATTCGATGTAAGAGAATACAAAAAACAAAAAAAAACGAAAACAACAGAATCAAAAGAGAATGGAACACAAAGAAATGAAAGAAACGCAAAAAAAAAATTATAAATATAGGATCTATATCGAGAAAAAAAAACAACAGTGGAAAAAAAATATGAACATTCATAGAGCGAGAGAGAGAGAGAGAGAGAGAGAGAAAAAAAATGGAAAAAACCAAAGAATAAGAATTATGAAGAATCCCAATGTTGATGATGATGATGATGATGATTCGAGGATTTTTTTTTTGCCTACTCATTTCATGGAATTATACACATTCATATATATGTGGAATTTAACATATCATACAACAACAACAACAACAACTAGGAAAGAAAAAAAAAGAAGCTTCAATTCCAGAAGATGATGATGATGATGACGACGACGACAGGCATAGTATCTGAAATGAGAATTATAACAAATCATCGAAGCCAACTAACAAATACATACATAAAAATGATGTAGAGTATAAAAAGTAATAAATTATAAATTCCACTCTTGCTGGATCTTCTTCATTTCGTTTCGTTTCATTTTCATGTTTGGTTTTTTTTTTTTTTGGATCGTTTTCTCTCTCTCTCTCTCTCTTTATGCGTGTGTGTGTGTTTTGTTTGTTCCATCATCATCATTTGATACATATGTTTAGATTCTTGGATATTGGGGGTAGAAAAAAAAGAAAAGTAGAAAGAAATTGCAAATGGGGAAAAAGATGAAAAAAATGTGAAAATAGCAAATGTATTAGAGTTGTAGTCCAAGTAGTAGTTGGATGATGATGATGATCATACATAATGGCAATTATTCAAAGTGTCTATGTAGATATATGGATAATGTATCGACAAAGTTTGGTTGTATTTTTTTTTTTCATTTTCATTTTCATTTTCATTATGTTTTTTTCCCTCTTGTTGAAGGATGCATGCTTTCATCAAACGATGATGATCAAGGGACGACGAAACAACGAAAAAAAAAAAAATAAATAAATATAATCATAATGAAAAAGATGAGAAGAGAAAAAAATGTATAATATTCGTTATTGAAACATTGCTTCATCATTATTATTATTATTATTAATATGGAAAAACTTGAAATTCCAAAGCCACATTGATTCAATTGGATTCTTCAATTGATATGTGTGTGTTTGTGAAACTATCCCATATATCATCAGATATGCACAGAGAGAGAGAGAGAGATACATTCTTTATTCTATCATCAACATTCACCGAATTCAACGGTTGTACTCATACGATTAGCAATTATCAATGAAACTAATAACCAAAAAAAAAAAAAAAAGAAAAGAAAAAATAAAGAAAAATGAAATGCAGTGGAAAAAAAACATGCCCGGACCGGACCGGACTGAACTGGACCGGATCGGAACCATATATCGGTATACTATTTGAATGAAGAATGTAGAAAAAAAATTTGAATATTCTTGTACGCTGAAAGCTTTTGATAATATAAATAAATAAATATATTTGGCATGGATCAATATACTGTTTGTGTCTGTCCGAGTGTGTGTGTGTGTGTGTTCACGTCGATTTTGATTCGAACATTCGGTTTCAAAAAGCAAAAAAAAAAAGAAAACTCTCATGAGATTCAAACATGAATGAATGGATGATAAAAAAAACCAGAATAAAAAATGCGCGGGTGTATGTGTGTGTGTATGTAGAATTCTAGCTTCTGAACATGATGAAACATTGATGAAATTTTTTTTTTTTTATCAAAGTGAGTAGCTTGTGCAGCTCATTCTGTCAGCTTTACAGCAATCTGGAAATTGTGAATAAAAATGGAAAATTTTGTGAAAAAAAAAATAAATCTTGATTCAAACATAAAATGATTAATAACGAAATTAAAGAAATCTTTTTTACTTTGTTTGTTGTTGTTGTTGTTTTTTGTTTATTATTTGTTAGTGAATGTCGATGATTACTGGTAATACTGATATCAGAATTTCATTTTGGAACATTGGACACCGCCACCACCTACACCGTGTTTCAAGATTCTGTTTGCTTTTATTTTGATTTATTCACTCAAAAAACGCTAACAATGACAACAACAAGATTACATCACAACGCGTGCCTTGGTCATTATTCTTTCTGTGATATGTTTTTTTTCTGTTTTATAACTCAAAAATACATCTAATACATTGAGGACACAATCTTGTGTGTGTACACAATTAAACAGAGAACAAAAAAAAGTATTCGATAAAATATCGATATAAAACTAAAACTAGAAATATAGATGAATTCTCTGATGGCCACTGGTCATCGAGAATTTTTTGTTTTGTTTTATTTTTTTTCACGTTATTCGTTTTTGTTCATGTTTGAATTTGTTTTGTTTGTTTACCAACAACAATTGTAGTTAACTATGATGATGATGTTGGTGAAAAAAAAATCTGGGAAAATGGAACTTACATTCACATTGTATGGTGGAAAAACAAACAAATGATGATGAACAAAGCGTGTATTTGTAGGAGTTGGTGGTGGGGGTTTGTAGGGAAGAATATGATAAAAAACAAGCAATGTTTCTGGAAACCATATTCATAGTGATTTAAGATTTGGAAAATTTAGAAGAATTTTCGAATTAGTCGAGTAGAATGTGATTTTTTGTGTGTGTAAAAATTACAATTATCGAAAAAAAAGATTAAAATCCATCATCATGATAAAAATCACATGGATTCAATCACATCATCATCATCATCATATGTGGTCATTCGATCGAATCAAATTGATCCTTTGGGTGTAAATGAATGGATTTTTATCGATGAATGAATATCTAAATGTCAAAAATAATAAAAACTAATCGAAAAACAAAACAAAACAAAAAATGCAGATTCTTTCAACCTGAACAGAATGGGTATTCCAATTTGGTTCCAAATACTAATCTACAAAACAAAAAAAATTCGATTCGATTCGATTCGATGATGATGATGATGATAATGGATTTCATTTTCTTGTTGTTGTGAATTTGAAAAAAAAGAATGGGATAGAGAAAACTTTTTGTTAAATTGGCAAATAACTTTTTTTTGTTGGTCAATATTTTATTTTTTTTTTTTTTTTTTGCTACAACAAAAAAACAAACAGAGAGAAAAGACAATCTCATTAGACATTAACACAAATTGATTTCAATTCAATTAATTAATTAAAACAACCATCATGAATTGAACACAGGGGAGAATGAAACAAACGAACAAAAAAAAAAAATGCCAAAGAGTTATATATGTGTCCAGTATCAATATAATCGAACGATACTAGATATATACTGAATATAACTACAGTATGAGGCTAATTAATTTTTTTTTGCGTTCTTTCGATCTAAAAAGAAAAAAACAATCAATTTGATACATTTGTGCGCACTGGAAACAGATGCTCGAAATGAAAAAAAAACGAAAATTACCCAATTAAAAAAAAATATAAACTACTACTACTACTACTACTACCCAAATGACCATTGGACAAGAATGAATAAAAACTGTGATTCAATATGTT